CAGAAGCTTCACTGTACAGGTGCAAGGTGGCCAATATATGTTGGCATTCATTCTGATTGGCCCTGAGGAAGAGAATAGCATCATCAGCAAAGAAAATGTGGGAGATGACTGGGCAGGTTCTTCGCATTTTCAGCCCTGAAATCCCTTGAGAGTAGATAGCCCGAGTTATAAGGTTGGAAAACACATCAGCCACCATAAGAAAGAGATAAGGTGAGAGTGGGTCACCCTTGGTGGAGGCCACAAGAGGGGTTGATGGAAGTACGCTTAGCTCCATTAATGAAGATTGAAAACCTCACTGTTGTGACACATTCCATGACTAAATTCACCCAATTCCCATGGAAACCCATTTTTAGCATCACAGCTTGCAAAAAATCCCATTGGATTCTATCATAGGCCTTGTTGAAATCCAGCTTGAGGGCCATGTTTGCATGTTTGCCAGTTTTCTTCTGCTTCAAATAGTGGAAGGCCTCATGGGCGATAAAAATGCTGTCTTGAATAAGTCTGCCGGGGACAAAGGCTGCTTGTTGAGGGGATATGAGATGCTTCAGGATTTTTTTCAATCTGTTTGCCATGACTTTGGTGATGACTTTCATACTGAAATTGCAGAGGCTGATTGGGCAAAATTGTGTGAGACTAGTAGGGGCGGCCACTTTGGGAATTAAGATCAAATTTGTATGATTAAGGCCTCTTAAGAGGGACCCATTTGTGAAGAAAAGTTTAACTGTTGCACACATCTCTGGACCCACGATATTCCAGTGTTTCTGATAAAAGAGCCTAGGGAAACCATCAGGTCCTGGGGCCTTTAGAGATCCTAGCTGAAAAGTAGCACATTTAATCTCATCATCCGTGACTGGCCTCAGTAGAGCATCATTCATTTCCGAAGAAACCATATGGTTGACCACTGAAAGTGCCTCCTCAAAGTGTCTAGGGTCCTTAGCTTGGAATAAAGTAGAGAAATAATTATGGAGATGGTGGTTAATCTCATGATCCGTCTCTAGCCAGACTCCACTTCCATTCTGGATTTTGACCAATTGATTCCTTTGTCGACATTGGGCCACTGTTGCATGAAAAAAGGCCGAATTCCGATCGCCATGACTAAGCCAGTTAATTCGGGAACGTTGATGTTAGAGCACCCGTTTTTGCACACAATTGCTATATTTTAGTTTTGACAGCTCCAATAGCAAACTATTGGAGATGCTCTTATGTCCTTAAACTACTAAAAACTTAGGGCAAATTACACTAACAGTCCCTATAGTTTGGGACTTGTGCCACTTTGGTCCCTGACTTTTTAATTGTGACACGTTTGACCTTGAATTTTGAATTTTGTTCCAAATAAGGACAATTGAAAATACTATTGTTTAATTTCAAAGGCAAAATCATCAATTTAATAAAATATAAACTAATTTGACAAAAATAAATCTCAAAAAAATATTTTTAATTTTTTAAAAAATATTTTTATCCACCAATGATAAAATTATGTAAAATTGATAAAAAAAAATTACATGATTTTTTAAAAATTAATTTTACACGATCATCGTCCAAACACATAATAAAAATTAATTTGGTAAAATAAATAAATAAATGTCTAAAAGATTTATTAATTTTGCATAATTTTATTTTTAGTGGGTAGAAATAATTTTAAAAAATTCACAAATATTTGTTTGACATTTATTTTTGTCAAATTAGTTTATATTTTATCAAATTGACGATTTTTACCTTGAAATAATATCTTCAATTGTTCTTATTTGAAACAAGATTCAAAATTCAGGGTCAAATGTGTTATAATTGAAAAGTCAGGGACTAAAGTGACACAAGCCCCAAACTATAGAGACTATTAGTGTAATTCACCCAAAAACTTATGACGAGGGAATTAAAAATAAAATTCTCAAACTTGTTTGGATCCAAAATAGTTATTTTGTTTGGAGTTTTCAAAAATATTTTTATTTTTGTAGTTTTAGTGATTTTTAAAATATTTTAATTATTTTTATTTTTTTAAATCCACTTCATCTTGATATACTTAAAAAATATATAATTTATACAACAATATTTTAAAAAATCCATTGAATACAACAAAATATAAAAATGTACTGAATTTTTATAATTTCTTTATATTTTTTGAATTTTTTTTTAAAAATCATAAATATTGTACTTTTTAAGTGTATTTGGATTAGGTGTATCCAAAAAATAATAAAAAAAATTGCATAAAATATTTTTAAAAATTCACTAAAAAATATGAAAAGCAAAAAATTCAATTTTCAAAAAAATAGGGATAACCAAACAAAAATTTTAATTTTTTTCTTAAATCTAAAAGCCATTCACTTTTAAGAAACATTAAAAAGTTCACTTAAATTTTTAAAAATTATTTTCACATAATAATAAAAATTAGATGCATTTTTAAATTTATTATTTTTGTTTCAAAAATATCAAGAAAAAAATGGATAAATGACATCGGCCACTTCTAAAATTTAGAAAAAATACAACAAATTTTATTGTATTAGTATAATTATACTAACTTTCTTTTTAGTGACGTTAGAATATAATTATTATAAATAATGTGAAAAAATAAAAATATACAAACTAAAATATATATTTTAATGGCAATATCAATTTTTTCATCTTTATAACTAATAAATTAATATAATTTATATTGAACTTATAAAATTATTGTACTTTATTTAAATTTTATGAAAAATGAGTGTAATTTACCCAAAGAGAAAAAAAATGGTACCAAACAAATCCAATTATTTTAAAAAGGCCGAATCACGTAAGGTGGGCCCCCCTATTTGTTAGGGGTATAGAAGGATGGATATAAGGGGAGATCGGATAGGATATAATGGGGGTGTTTGGGAAGAAAAAAAGTAGTCAAATTTAGGTTAAAAATCATAAAAAAAAATAAAATAGACTAAAATAGTTAATAAGACAAAATATTACATCAAATCTATAATCATTTCATGTTTTCTTTCACAAACATCACATCCAACCATAAAAAAATCCAATCATCTTCCCAAACACAAAAAATTTTAGCCTACTTAAAATAGCCAAAAACTAAAATAGCCTACTAAAATAGCCACTTCCCAAACGAGGCCAATATTATGTGGGTTTCACATATTTTCTTGTCTCCTTATATCTTGTGTTTGGTTGTTCTACATATAGAAAATCCGAATAATATATCTCTCAAAGAGGATATGCAATACCAATCCCTTAATGGTATTGTATATCCCCATCATCGGATATAGGAAATCTTTCATCTAAATGTCAAAAATAATTACTCTCTTCTTATCCCATCCTATACCATATCTTAACCAAATATAATATAAGTGACCTCATAGTATATATAATCCATCTTATATCTTGCAACATATTATATCATATTTTTATCCTTAAATATTATGTGGTGTTTTAAAAAGTTGATAAAAAATTAACTTTTGACTTTTTAGTAACTTCTTTTTACTAAAAAATTAACTTTTTCATGACATTTTTATGATTTTTTTATATAAATAAATTAAAAAATTTAAAAAAAAATGCTCTGTTTGGTAAGCATCTGAAAATATAGTTCTACCCATTGATTTGAGTGTGTTGTTTATTTGGAGCTTTCAAATCATAATTCTATATCCATTTCTCAAAACTCAATTCAAAACATAATCATTTCTTTTCAAAACTCATAACCAAGCACATAATTCAAAACTCTTTTCAAAACTCAATTCAAATCAATATTTTAATTTTGTTAAGATTTTAAATATTTTAATATTTAAAGATGTTACGATTTTTTTAATTTTTTGAATATTTTAAATATTTTAATTTCAAAATATTACGATTTTAATTTTTTAAATTTTAAAATATTTTATAAAAATAAATTCAAACTCTATTTTATAAAAATATTTTTAAATATTTTAATTTCAAAATATAGTTTGAATTTTTTTTATACATATTTGGTGACGATTTGAGTTAGAGTGTAAAGTAGTATGGAGTTTCAAGTTATGTGTGTGGTTATGAGTTTTAAAAATAATTTCTTAATTGAGTTTTGTTTTTATGTGTTTGGTTACGATTTGAGTATAGAGTTTTTTTAAGCCTCCGTTTGGAAAAGTGGGTTGGCTTTTGACTTTTTTGGCTATTTTAGCCTGGGCTAAAAAGCTTGGTTTGGAAAGACTTTTAGGCTTTTTACTTTTTTTTTGTGAGAAAAGAGTGTAATGATTATGGATTGGATGTGATGTTTTATTTTTTGTGACTAAAATAGCCTATTTTATCTTTTGTGGCTAAAATAGCTAAAAAAGCCCATTAGTTCTTCCCAAACGGACCCTAATATAAAAATATTAACATTTTAAATTATTTAAATTTTTTGAATATTTAAATTATTTAAATTTTTACGATTTAAATTGAATATTTATTTTAATTTTTTTACTTATTAAACTTTTTAAATTATTTAAATATTTATGATTTAAATTTTTTGAAAATTTATTTTGAAAAAAAATTATTTCCTTTGTAGTAGTATTTTCAATTAAAAAATTAATTAATGTTATTTTTTGTTAATAATAATTTTTTTTTAATTGAATTTTAAAAAGAGTTTGGTTATGAGTATTGATCAGAATTTTTAATAGTGTGAAAGTAGTGTGTTTTGTTATGAGTTATAATAATTTGAATTAAGTTTTGAAAACTCTTTCTAAAATCCATAACCAAACAAATTTTCTTACTTCACATGTCAAATCAAACTTTCAAAACTCAATTTCACACTCAATTCAACACTCTATTTAAAAATCATAACCAAACAAATTTTTTACACTCAAATCATAATTTTATAACTTACAAACTTAAAATACTTTCAATTCATATTTACAAAACTCTACCAAACGTAAATTGACTTTTTTAATATGTTTCCAAATTACCCCTATATATCCCCCTCACACCCTAATAACCAATCCGGACCATCAAGGGAGCTGAAACCTCAAAATTATGGTACTACATAACAAACCTACGCAATTATATAGCTATGAGTCACCAAACCAATAGGCTGCTATGCGAACCTACACTCTTTATTTTCTCTTTGGGGGTTAAACAAGGGTTTAGATTTCCATAGAAAAAGGGTTCAACGCCTACCTCTCAAAGCAACAGAGAGAGAGAGAGAGAGAGAGATAGATGAGGCTGCTAACCCACAACATGCTATCATCCAACATCAAGGGGGTCACCAATGGCTTCCCTCTCCGAATCGAAGTCCAGAAAGTGATCGAAAAGCCTGTGGATTTCAACCCCGACTTTCTTCGAAACATGTTCCCCAAGATCGACTGGAACGCTCTCGTCGAAGCCTCTCGGACCATGGGCTACCCTGACCTTCCCGACTCCGCCGACGCCGCCATGCTCGACTCCGACGACTTCCTCCGGCGCTTCCACCACTCCCTCCTCGAGCTCCACCTCGAAGAGGGCGCCCTCCTCTGCCCCGAGACCGGCCGTCGATTCCCCGTCACAAAGGGCATCCCCAACATGCTTCTTCACGAAGACGAGGTCTGATTCCTGTTTTTGGCCGATTGATTATCGAATCAGGGTCTTATAATATGTTTTGATCTAGTTACAATGCGAATTAGTTTTTTTTTTTTTATGTGGATTGTGGTTTTTGAAGGGAGATTTGAATGTGAATGGGCTGGTTGTTGCGTGAATTTGGATTTGATTTTGTGTCTGATTGTGATTGCCAATTGGGGAATTGAGTGAATGAGTCCCACACTACCCATGAGAATTTCAAATTTCTACTCAATCACTTGACTGCGATTAACTCAGCTATTAGACTAGTGAGTATTTTTAGTAATAAAGTTCTCATTTTTGTTGTATTTTTTTTTTCTTTTTTGTCTGTTTTATTTCCTCCAAACACAATTTGAAGGACTTAATATGAGTGAGGATTAGAAGAATCAATGTTAAAATTGGCAATGCTTTGTCAAATATCATGTTTTGGGTGGGAAGTGCAGAGATATACTTGCCGTACCATTTCATTGTAATTAACTTGCAAGTGGAGAGGTTGACGTCTCTGGTGCAAGAGCTCCGGAAAAATTAAGTGGAATTGCTCTTTTTGTTCTCTCTCTTCTACCTTTGCATTTTTTTCCTCATCTTCAGTAGCCCATCACTAACCCTATCCATACCACTTCTTTTTCTAAGTCTGTTTCCAACCCTTAGTAGTTTTACTCAACATGAGGTCTGAGTTTGAGTAAAAAAAACTTCATTTGATATGAAGCACTTAAATGGAAAATTTCAAATTTAAGTGCAATTTGTCAACTTTTGAGTGGTTGTAGCTAGGAATTGGAGTGAATAATAATTTGAAATTTTTGGATAAAAGCACCTGTGTCAAGCTCTGATTGCATAGAAATTTGAGTAAAAAGAGATGTATCTCCCTTGATTTGAGTCAAAATTGGAGTAAAACTAAAGTTGGTATAGATTTGGTATAGATTTGAATAAATGAGTGGGTGGAATTTTAACTTCTTACTCAAATTTAAGTTTTGAGTCAAGATTTAAGTAAGGTTGAAAATGTCATAACTCATTGGAATCAGTGTGGTTGCCATTGTGTAGCCTTTTAGGTTCACTTTAGAAATTATTTTGATAATTTAAATCATTTATTTTTTAAATTACATCGAATACAATATATTTATAAAAAAATTAATTGACATGAAAAAATGAATAATTAGTTCGATTTTAAGAATAAAATGATGTTTTTAAAAAAGTATACTTTTTGACTTTTTAGTTTATATGAGTTGGGTTTGGGTTGGGTTTTATGTGTTAGAGAGATGATGTGATTTAAATAAGATGATGTAACTTAAATAGGATAGTGACTTTTTGACTTTCTGTATTATTTAATTTATGCCAAACCAACTCTTAATACATATGTGATTTGATGAAAGAACTATTATTAATATCCGATCAATTTTGATTTTTTTATAGGAATGTTGTACTGATATGTCCTAAAAAGTAATCAATTTGAATTATCAAAATAAGATCTAAAATGAGCTCAAAAAACCACACAACAGTTACTGTTGTGCATCTCAAGTCCTAACTCACTACTAATTGTTATTACACCTAACAACTTGATACTCTCAGTGTAAAGCTCATCTGCAGCTCCCTTTTCACTTCAACTCTCAGTCATTCATTTTAGCAATTAAACTAATATATAATGAACGGTTCGGATCATCGATGTCGGTACCGTGGTAAGCTCATGGAGGCCCAACAACACCTTCCGGTTGGTTTTTCCAATTGAAGAGAAGCCTCTCCCAATTTGTTAAGCCCATTTGCTACTACATCGCTCTGCAAATGCAAGATACAAACATAAACGGTGTCATCCTCTAGTCCAGTAGTATACAATTGTTACTCTGCATGACTTTCACAACATTACCTTGGCAGGCATGGCTTGAATCTACAACGAGAAATTTGGGATGCAAATCTTTTACGCATGAGAAGCCCTCGTCCTTGGCATAATCAATCACACTACTAGAGTTCATAAGAAGGCACTAACACAATCCAATTCCTCAAAAAAAATTATTGAAAAAATAAAACAAACAAAAGTTGGCAACTGCTTATCCAAAAAGATATAAATTTAACCCTAAAATTATTACTCAAACCTGATGCTACCACATTTATGGTACACATCATGCCTTCTCGATCCCAATTCTATGCATATTCAACTTCTCTTGCGTGGGGTCTCAGAAGGGGATAAAGGCACACCAAAAACCCAGTCAAGAACATTCAAGTACTTGGATCGAAACACATCCCTCTCAATTGCATAGCAGTGCATGATAATTGCAGTTGAAATGCTGAAAACCACTACATCTGCTCTCTTCAGTCTCCTTGACTCTGGTAAATATCCTATATCAGACATGCATGTGACGAAGCTCTCAATAGCACGTGCGAGGCAGTAGAGTGAAATCTCAATACGCCTGCTTTTCTTCTCAATGGCCAAGGCCAGCCCTGTTGGGAACTGCCAGTAATAAAAGCACTTATTCAAAACAAGAGCACGTATTTTTCTAGCCAATCTAGGGAAAATTTAGAAAGAATCAGCATTACCGTCCCAATTGCCACCATAGGAACATTACATCTCTTAAGCAGCCTGAAGAGGAAGCATGTCCACATCCTAATGAACAACAGTAACATCAGAAAACATAGTTAAGAGAGGTTCTATATGACATATTCATATTCACAACAGCATCTGAACTAGAAAAGACTATAAGAAAGGGTACAAATACATCATTCATTGACATCTTTCACATCAGAATGGTTGTTGGTTGCAAAGTACATAAATTATATTATTGTGGCACAAAAGGCTAAATCAGTAAGCTTAGCAATTGTCTGTCAGAACCCTTGTCAAGAACAAACAGCCCATGAAAAAATTAGCTACACTGTGCTGTATCTGTATACGCTGTATCCGTATATGAATTTGGTTAGTTATGTTGGATGATAAGGGAAAAGCAAATTCTTCCAATAACATCCAATATTGAAGAGGTTCAATGTAAGAAATCAGCTACTCACTAATCCTGATGGTTCAGTGCCTACAATTACACTAGTCAAACCAGATCCAGGTATGAAAATGGTCATCAAGTTGACACGTTGTAACCTAATTCAGAACATAAGCTTTCCTCAAGACATAATGTTCATTTCAATATTATCTTATTTTCAAACAAAAATGCAGCTCACATCTTCTAGTGCACAAAAAATTATCAGATACAGATCCTATGGGATTACATTACCATACAAGACAAGATCAACTGCAATTCTAATGCATGCAAGTTCCGAACACATCCACTCAAGCAAACTCACTAGGTCATAGGAGAATGATTGTGACCGACAGTATTTTCATATGCATCAAAAGTAATGCTTACCAGGCAGACGAGCAATAGACGGACAGAAACAAGCTTGATCTTGCCGTACCAAATAGACCTTTCCTCAAAATCGAGCAAGGCCTGTGTAATGTCGAATAAAATATGAAAAATGCAAATGTTCAAAAGTATTATTTATCTAACAAAAAATGATACACATCTCAATAAAAGGTGCACCACAACATTGCTGTCACAATCCAGTACAAATAAGCGATCATGAATAAAGGTTTCAAAGAATGTATTCTCAGTAACAAAGGTTGAGATTGGGAAACTGGTTTGCACGAGATCAGCTAGTTAGTTCATGGATTAATGCAAAGACAACTGTAGAATGACACAAGAAACAACTGAAATGTAATACAAAAATGTTTTCCCGACACTCAAATGTAGAGGTTGTTAACCCAAAAAGCAACACATCATTAGTTCCCCAATCTACTTCGACAAGTAAAAAAACAATAACAAAAAGTTAAAAGCAACTTGCTTATGTGACTATCTAGGTGTGCTTCATTACCAAGGAAGGGCTTAAAGGCAATACAATGTTCAGTGTAACACAATGATAACACTATGACGTAGTAACTCAGACTCACTGCCTGAACACAACACCAAATCATATTTCTAGCTGAACTTGATGCCAACTCACATCAGTCCTATACTTATACTTAACTTCCTACCATGTTTCCAGAAAGCAAAAGAATTGACAATTATTCGGAGAACACAACAAAGCACTTTACCTTTTCAAGAGGCCTTTCCGGTGAACTATTAGTGCAGGGATCAAATAAACTGGAAAATAAACTGGTAATGCTCTTTTGTAGGCTTGGATAAGAAATGATACAAAATGTGCACCACATGATTGATTTCCATGTATAAGCTGCACGTATTTTGAAATGTAAGTATAGTTCTTGAAAACATAATGAACAATAACATTGATTACATAATATTGACATGAGCAAAAAACAGTTTATGGTAATCTAAGATTCTCTAAAGATATACCATGGATGGTACTGTACAATAATCAGAAACCACAGGCAAATTTTTAACAATTATACTACATATAAAGATAATAACTTAAAAGGAACCTTTCAGATGACTGGCTACATGTTATTCCTGAAAAAAGCCTAAGACATTGATACTGGATCATCAAATACAGAGATTAACACATCCATGCACCTCGCAGGATAGTGCTTGCTTTCAGAGATTAACACATCTTCCTACATCTAAAAATGTAGAAACTTAATCAGCAATCTGAGAGCTCTACTGCTACAGAATGTTTTAGGTCTGTGCTTAACAGCATCTGAAAAGGCATTGATGAAGTGTTCTGCCAGCGAGACAACAAGCCAGGTAAAAATTCCAAAAGAACGTAGTCCCAAATGGAAAAACTGCTAAATTTATTGCATGCACATATATATGAATGACGTGATTCTAATAGAATTCATCTACAGATTGGGAGATGGAGGAGCAAGCAGTCAATGTAATAGTTGGGGCAAACTTTATTAACACCATGCCAGCACTAAACCACTGCTATAAAGGCTCCGGCAAAAACTTTATCCAGGAGGTATTAATAGGGATGGAACTAGGAGAAGACTATAGGAGGCCATGGCCTCCCCTGTTTCTGTAAAAAATTGTTTGTCATAGCACTTCTAAATATATATATATTATTGCATAAATAAACTGGCCTCTTAGTATAAAAAATATATAACTCATTCTTCTCTTGTCTTGCATTCTCTTTTTATTTTCTACCAAAATTCATCATCCTATTAGAGATTATGTCTATGATATTTAAATTTTTTTTATGTGTATATATAATTTATATATCGTATTGCACATATATGTGTGTTTGTCTATATGGTAAAAAAAATATTATTAGTCTTTTGACCCCCACGGTGATGAAATCTTGTTTCCGTCCTCTTATTAGGTATCCTAACTTACTTGCCCAGAAAATATAACAAAAAATGAATCAACACTTTGTAAGTTTCAAAGGCTTTTTGATGTTAACGTTAGAATTGCTTGGTCCTGTTAATCATAATACTATTATTGCAATCAACATCCACTTTTTGTTTAGTTTCTACATCAATTAAAATTTATGTTGACTTTAACTTAAATAAATGGAAGCATAAGTACCAATTGGAATCACGAATATCCCTACATGATAGATGGTATATTACAAACTTTAATTACCAGTTAAAAGGGGTACCTTGAGCCTGTATCAATTGGAAAGCCTTCTGAAATCTACTTTTGACATATATATACATGAGAGTTAGCATTCATTCTCACCTTTATCCTCAAAAGGTTGCAATCTTATTTCATGAAGAAACACCAAACCCATAGCATGCTCCAACAACTCTAATAAAGCACTTTAAATAGCTATGAAACTTATTGAACAATGTATGTTTTAGTCCTTTATGATGTAAAGAGTATTAGGAACCACTTGCACGTAAACTCTTCAGACAACCAGCAATTATGTGCTAAGTAACCATACAGGGTCATCTTACATTAAATGGATATTAAGTTCAACTTCCTGTGTTGATAAAACATTATGCATGTTGCAGTGTTAAGTTTCTTGCGTTGATAGCAGATAATGCATCTATTGCATAAATGGCGCAAAAGGAAGACCAACAGAAGTTCCTATTAATGTACATGAAACTATGAATGGTTAAGGATGAATAGAACCAAAGTGTCATAACATCAGGAATGCATACCGAGCAGGGGATTTTCATTTGTGGATCCAGTTTAATGTTGACACCTATGGTCTTGTAGTACTTCTCTATGACCCCCAAATTAGAAAAAGGCATGCCACATGCCATCTCTCTCACTCCTTGCAAGACAATGGGATCCTTTCCCCCATGTTTATTGAGAAAAGACTTGTATGATGAAGGCAAGCTCTCCTGCTTCAATAAATAAGCAGACCTGAAAATAGAATCCTTTTATGTAAAAAAAACATTGTGAGAAATGAATAAGCACAATTTCTCAGAGGAGATAGTGATCAGACCATAATTTGAAGTTAGGTCTTTTGGACATCATCAAGTAAAAAATTCTGGCCATACTACATTCTTCATGTGGGAGATTGAAGAATTAACCAAAGCACCCCCACCACATGGAAAAATAAATCTACTTGTCAACACTCTTAATTAGAGACATAAATTCTTTTTGAACAGCAATTCACAAGTTCACTGCAAGCAACAAAATGGGAAATCACATAATCAAACGACACACACACAGCATATGTATATTCAGACCAACCAAAATATTCATTTCTGGCTCTTAGAAATATCAGTCCAACGTATTGGAAAGTATGAGATGCACAGAATATCTATTTAGAATTAATATTATAAATTACATATTATATTTCCCTGCTCTTGGCAGAAAGCATTCATATAGGGTGATGCTCCAACTATGAATCATTGATTAGTGTACCTCTGAGAAGCATGGAGACATCGTCATTGATCTTGTAACATAATTGCATGTTCATAGCAATAAAACCTCAAATTAGTGGGAGACAAACCACATTACTTGAGACAACTTTCTTCTTTCTTGTCTATTGAATAGTCTTGTCATACATTAAAAGGAAAAGGGCCGTACTATAAGTTAATCTACCATAAAAGTTGGATCAAGTTTTAGAAAACTAAACCATCACAGGCTAAGCATATGCCCGCTCTTGCACCTAAATTCATCTCCAGATAATTTCCCACTATGCTAAGCTTTTTCAATCAACTAGCAGAAGGTGCTTCTTTTTCTTTTCTTTTCTTTTCTCTTCTTTATTTTTTGGTGGTCGTATGTGAAGTGGGTAAAAATTAATCAAGTCTTGGTGCTAGGCCCAATGCGATGCTCACTCTGAGGTTGAGCTAGGTTGGACCTTGGCCCTATGGCCAACACTTGCTCTGAAGCAAGACAATCATAAGAGCTCGGCCCAACGTACGAATGTCACTCCAAAGTGGGCCGAGCAACATAAAGTGGGTAAAAATTAATCAAGTCTTGGTGCTAGGCCCAATGCGATGCTCACTCTGAGGTTGAGCTAGGTTGGACCTTGGCCCTATGGCCAACACGTGCTCGGAAGCAAGACAATCATAGGAGCTCGGCCCAACGTACGAATGTCACTCCAAAGTGGGCCGAGCAACATGGTGGACCTCCTGGACGGGCAGCCAACCACTCCGAAGTAGGTTGAGTAACATGTTGAACCTCCTGGATGGACAGACAACCACTCCGAAGTGGGCTGAGCAACATGTTGGACCTCCCGGTTGGACAACCATTCTAGAGTAGGCCAACTCAAAGAAAGCCAATTCACTGAAGATCTTTCTTGGGCCCACAAGAGACAAACAACTCTGCTCCTCTCCCTCTGTATGAACAGAACGTGGAGACATGGAGGTGCAGAGGGACAAGGTGCATATATGACAGACCTGCATCTGAATGACAGGCGGAGTGGTCGTCCTCCTCCAATGAGAGATGTCCGCTAATGAGACAAACAAAACAGATCTGCACCCGAGTGTCAGGCGGAGTGGTCGTCCTCCTCCAATGGGAGACGACCACGAATAAGACACATTGGACAGATGGCGGAGAGAGAAGGACTTGAACGACAAACAGCCTTCTCCTATAAAAGGTGAACACTATTCACTCTCGAGGGATCCGAAAATCCACACACTCAACACATACACTTTTAGTATTCTTTCTTCTCTCTTCTTCCTCTCCCTGAGTCCCTGACTTTACCATCAGAGGGATTTCTGACCAAACTCCGGTCGGGCAGCCTCACCGTTTGTTATTCTATGCAGATCTTTAATTCCCAAAGCACACTATTTATCTACGAAGTTCAACCCTTCTTAATAGTGCAGAAATCACCCCCGCACAATTGGCGCCACTGTGGGAAAACCACTGATTGCTTTGTGACGAACTCCAACGATGAGAATCAAAGATACACCCCATTTTGGACTAGCAGAGAGGACTCTAATGACAGAGAGAACCAAAGATAACGGTCCAGCATTCCCTAGAAGGCATGAAGACCTTGCAGACCTTAACGAATAGACCACCGATGTAGTAGAGCAACGTCATGTCATCATCGGCGAGTCACCCCAACATAGCTCCCTTAATAGAGACAACCGCGACCAAAGGAAGAGAGTACCACACTGTTCTATGACAAGCTCTAGTGAGGGGAACGAAAGAGACACCTTTGTTGCCACTGTGGAGAAGGACTCAGTTGACAGAGAAGACAAAGCATAACAAATTAACGCTTTGAAGAGTGCCGGAAAACCAGATCTGCACTAATGGATATAGAGAGACCAGATCTGCACCGACAGATGAAGTCCAGACACGGCGTACACCACTGTACTATTGTTTAGTCGTTCTAATGCCTCATTCTAAAGGACTCCCATGAAAGAGATGATGATCGATAAAGGACTATATTTTATGAAAGTGTTGGAGGACCAGATCTGCATCGAAGAACAAAGTCCAAATACGATGGAACACCACCGCATCATTGCTATTGACTCGTCTCATCATCTAGACGGAAGGACTCCAATATTAGAGAAGACGAATGATAAAGAACCAATAATCCTAACAGTGTCAGAATACTAGATTTGTATCGATGAATGAAGTCTAGATGTGGCAAAGCGCCACCGAATCCCTACTATTCAGTTGTCCCACCGACTAGACGGAAGAACTCCAATGATGGAGAAGACGAATGACAAAGGATAGATGCTCCTGAGTCTTCTGAAAGATGAGATCTGTATTGACGAACAAAGTTTAGATGTGGTAAAGCTCTACCATATCCTCGCAATTGAGTTGTTCCACCTATTGGATGGAAAGACTCCATTGATGGAGAAAACGACAAACAAGGGTATGGTACAACCAAAACATAAGTTTGGGTTAATCCTAGCCGACTACATTGATGTGGGCCTAACAAAGGTCTAGGCTGATCCCAGCCAACCACCTTAGTGTGGGCCTAACAAAGGTCTGGGCTGATCCCAGTCGACCACCTTGACGTGGGCCTAACAAAGGTCTGGGCTGATCCCAGTCGACCACCTTGACATGGGCCTAACAAAGGTCTGGACCGATCCCAGCCGACCACCTTAGTGTGGGCCTAACAAAGGTCTAGGTTGATCCTAGTTGACCACTTCGATGTGGGCCGAACAAAGGCCACTCCGATATAGACTGAACAAGAGCTAGGTTAAACCGAGCCCTCTACAATGAAGTCTGAACAGAAGCTAGGTCAAAGCTAGCTCTCCACTCCAAAGTGGGATAAACAGAAGCGTAACCGAGTCAAGTAACGGCCGAACAATGATGATCGATTGGGGGCAAGACAACTAATTCAATTAAGCCCAAACGGGAAATCTTGCAAGGTTTCCCTATTATTGCTCGGCTGGAAGAGCAACTCAATTTTTCAAAGGCATAAGGCGAAGTCTAACCGAACAACGAACAATGTAGGGCTACATCCTTGTTGCTCGGCTGGGGGCAAACAACATAAACATGAAGAAATTGAAAGTTTGAGTTACAAGTCCAACACTTGGCAAATTTCGAAGATACTTTATTAACTAAAAGTTTCATTACAAAAGGACCTCAGCCTAACGAAGGTGATACGAAGTGGAAGAGTTACAAAGAGGGATGAACAACAAAGGTTGGTTGGTCGCTCAACGTCCACTTCGAAGTGGGCCGAGCAACAAAAGTTAGTCGGACGTCCAATGCTTGGACAGAACAACAGAGGTTGGTTGGATACCCAATGCCCACTTTGAAGCGCGCCAAGCAATGAAGGTTGGTTGGACTCTGAACGTCCACTTCGAAGTAGGCCGAGCAGCAAAAGTTGGTCAAACGCCCAACGCTTAGGCCAAGCAATAGAAGTTGATTGGACGCCCAACGCCTATTCTGAAGTGGGCCGAGCAACGGAAGTTGGTCGGACGCCCAATGCTCACTTTGAAGTAGACCGAGCAACAAAAGTTGGTCGGACGCCCAATGCCTAGGCTGAGCAATAGAAGTTGGAATGAAGTAGACCGAGCAACAAAAGTTGGTCGGACACCCAATGCCTGGGCCGAGCAATAAAAGTTGGTCAGACGCCCAACGCTTTGACCGAGCAACAGCGGTTGGTTGGATGCCCAACGCCTACTCTTAAGCGCGCCGAGCAATGGATGTTAATTGGACGCCCAACACCCATTCCGAAGTGGGCCAAGCAACAAAAGTTGGCCGGACACCTAATGCTCACTTTGAAGTTGACCGAGCAACAAAAGTTGGTTGGACGCCCAATGCCTGGGCCGAGCAATAGAAGTTAGTTGGACGCTCGATGCTTGGGCCAAGCAACAAAAGTTGATCGGACGCCCAACGCCTGGGCTAAGCAGCAGAAGTTGGTCAGACGCCCAACGCTTAGGCCGAGCAACAAAAGTTGGTCAGACACCCAATGACTGGGCCGAGCAGCAGAAGTTGGTCAGACACCCAATGCCTAGGCCGAGCAACAAAGGTTGGTTGGACGCCCAACACCCACTTTGAAGCACGCCGAGCAACGGAGGTTGATTGGATACCCAATACCCATTCCGATGTAGGCTGAGCAATGAAAGTTGGTCGGACGCTCAATGCTCACTCCGAAGTGGACCAAGCAACAGTGGCTGATTGGACGCCTAACATCCACTCCAAAATGGACAGAGCAAAGGAAGCGGGTCAAAACTAACTAAGCAAAACCAAGTTTCATAGCTCGAGTAAACAACCAAAAGATTGACAACAAACAAAGTTGGAAGTGCAACATTCTATCAAATAAATACACTACAAACAACAAGCAAAGGTCAAAGGAGTGCAGTGCCCGACGAGAGTCAATATTATCGAAGTCAATACCAAGACTATAACAACTATGTGCTAGACAACTCTTAAGATAAGAGGTGCTAAGGTTGACAGTAGCTTGGTGGTAGAGAAACCGAATTAAAAAATGCAAACTCGCAACGCCAAAGCTGCTAGGGCCGACCAAGCAACTCGGTGTTGAAAAACAAAAATGATGCAAACAAGCTGCTACGGCCGACTAACTAAGTGACGGATAATTCTTAAGCTGAAGGTAAAATGCCCGACCAATATATGAAGAAACGAGCTGAACAAATAGACGTGCTAATCATGTCCAAACAAGAAAATGGTGCATGATCCGCATGACCGAGCAATGTTAGCAAGCTATGCTTCGAGACCGAACAGAGTGGAGAGGCAGGACTTGGCCGACCAAGCATTGAGACCAACACCAATTTATCTCCTACAAGTAGGACCGAGCAAAAAGATAACGAATATGTCTTTCAAATTAGAACAAAGCTGTGATAAAGCACACTTGGCCTGCTTTGAAGCGTCGCTGTGTTGCTCGGCCCAATCGACGAACACTGCAAAAATATATATATATATATATACTATTCTGTATATATATTTTTTCAAGTCCAGAAACGACGCTCAGCCGACTGAAAAAGCACCAAGCTAGACAATTACGAGGCTAGTGAAGATACACATTTAGTTTGGGGGCATAACCGAGCTACGAAATATTGGGCAGACGCAAACGTTGGGCCGAACAATAATTTTGAATCCAACTCACGAAGGTCAAATTAAGTTGTGATCAACCAAACTTCAAAGTTTGTGACAGAATTGGCTTCCGCTTCGCCAAATGTAAGCGCAAGCCAGGGGGCAAATGAAGTGGGTAAAAATTAATCAAGTCTTGGTGCTAGGCCCAATGCGATACTCACTCTAAGGTTGAGCTAAGTTGGACCTTGGCCCTATGGCCAACACTTGCTCCGAAGCAAGACAATCATACGAGCTCGGCCTAACGTACGAATGTCACTCCAAAGTGAGCCGAGCAACATGAAGTGGGTAAAAATTAATCAAGTCTTGGTGCTAGGCCCAATGCGATGCTCACTCTGAGGTTGAGCTAGGTTGGACCTTGGCCCTATGGCCAACACTTGCTCCGAAGCAAGACAATCATAGGGGCTCGGCCCAACGTACGAGTGTCACTCCAAAGTGGGCCGAGCAACATGGTGGACGTCCTGAACGGGCAGCCAACCACTCCGAAGTAGGTTGAGTAACATGTTGAACCTCCTAGATGGACAGACAACCACTCCGAAGTGAGCTGAGCAACATGTTGGACCTCCTGGTTGGACAACCATTCTAGAGTAGGCCAACTCAAAGAAAGCCAATTCACTGAAGATCTTTCTTGGGCCCACAAGAGACAAACAACTCTACTCCTCTCCCTCTGTATAAACAGAACGTGGAGACATAGAGGTGCAGAGGGACAAGGTGCATATATGACAGACCTACATCTGAATGACAGGCGGAGTGGTCGTCCTCCTCCAATGAGAGATGTCCGCTAATGAGACAAACAAAACAGATCTGCACCCGAGTGTCAGGCGGAGTGGTCATCCTCCTCCAATGGGAGACGACCACGAATAAGACACATTGGACAGATGGCGGACAGAGAAGGACTTGAACGACAAACTACCTTCTCCTATAAAAGGTAAACACTATTCACTCTCGAGGGATCCGAAAATCCACACACTCAACACATATACAATTTTAGTATTCTCTCTTCTCTCTTCTTCCTCTCCCTGAGTCCCTGACTTTACCATCGGAGGGATTTCCGACCAAACCCCGGTCGAGCAGCCTCACCGTTTGTTATTCTGTGCAGATCTTTAATTCCCAAAGCACGCTGTTTATCCACGAAGTTCAACCCTTCTTCATAGTGCAGAAATCACCCCCGCACAGTATGCATCAAATTTCTCCCTCTCAAACTTTTACATGTGACCAATATAATTTGCGATTTTTGTAACAGTACACTAATCAAAGTTTGTTATCATTTGGTTGCTGCTCGATGTGTGTGTTAGAGTTTGTGTGAGGTACAAATATGGATGCACCTGATTGGTACCTGTCACCGTCACCTTTTAGTAGGTGCACAAGTTTCTAAAGCCAATGTGAATCTCAAGTTTTTTCCACAACCCTCAACACACTTCAAGTAGATAAGCCACAAACACATTAGAAGTATTAAGAGAGAATCAAAGCAAATTAATTCAAGAGATTGTTGATTTTTAGTGCATGTTTCTAGTGTAAACAATATTTTTATAGGTACAATCATCCTATGTCTGTCAAGTGAAAGTGATATATCTTGAAGTCTTCATAAATGCATTACTTCTGTTGGTGAAAAAAACTAACTTGCATGAATTAACATAAATAAATAAAACACACAGAAAAAGTCGAAATCTTTAGCAACAAAAAGCAAACCATTCTAAAATTTGGGGAAAAAGAAATGTGAACATACAAAATTTGTGAAGAGGAGAGACACATGAGGAAAATATCTCCATGAGCCCAAGTAAGAGGTTTGCAAATGCGCCCAAGTCGCTTGCTTTTTATTCCACAGCGCGATGCCAATACAGCAGCGCGCATAAGTATGTAAATTGCCAAACTCGTATGTTGCGTATCCAATCCGGTTAGAAGAAGAGAATTCCCTGCAACAGCACCAGCAAACAAAGCCCTCCATCTCGCAGTCCTGAAGTGGAACAGCACTTTCACCAATCAAAAATCAAATCACATACTCCTACTACCCAAAAAAAATAAAAAATAAATTAAAATTAAATTGTGAGTCATGCCTGCGATGTCCTCCCAGAGTAGCTATAATTTCATCCACTGAAACAAATGTACCAGCAAAGGTACCTAAAAACAGACCGTATCTGATAGTTTCTTTAATTGCTAAAATCACATCCTCACTGCTCGAAGCCATTACCGCGTTCCTGAACCAAAGAAATTATTTTGAAACTTATACATCGATACATGTATAATTAGATCTGAAGAAGATATTATTAGAATTCGGAATTCAAAAATTGTTTACTTTGAGGAGGTGGATAATCGTCTGCGTCTGAAGCGAGTGAGGACGGCAAAGAGAGAGAGGCCGCCTTTGATACCAGCTCCAATGGTGAAACCTTTAACCGAGGCAGTGAAGATCCTCCATAGCTTATCGTAGTCCTCCAGGGGAACGGAATCGAAGCTGAGCAAAGACGAGGAAGACGACGACGAAGGAAGATGAGATCGTCTACAATGCGGACACCTCCGATCGTTCAATTTGTCAAAACCATCGCCGAGATCATCTTTATTCTCAATGGAAGAGCAACTGCATGTGCCGCCGCCGGGCGGCGACATGGTGGTGGGACGTTAGGGTTTGGGGGAGTGGAGAATGAGAGAATCTTGGTCGCAGAAAAACTTGGTGGAAGTTTTTGAAAGCGAAGAGAGAAAGCCAGAGAGAGAGGGGGATTAACAGGAAGGAGGGAGTGTGGGAATGAGGCGTTACATGATTGGCAGTTTAGGGGTGTGCATATTTGCGGTCTTTTTTTTACGACACCGTTCTAACCATGTTTTTTTGGCCCCATATGATGCGTTTCCAATTTTGTTATGCTCCGACGAGCATTAAAATTGAGAGTAATTTATTGCTATTTAAAATAATTATACTAATATATTTTACTCAAAATAATAATAATAATAATAAATATAAATGTGTTCGGTGAAAATAGTAATAATAATAAGAAGAGCAAATTATAAAATAAAAAAAAATTTGAGTTTCGTGTATTTTTCAATTTAAATTCTACAGTTTCAATTGTAACAATTAAAACTTGGATATTATTTTTGTGTCACAATTTAGCTTCTCTGTCCATCTCTGTCTCATTTTACTAATAGAAATTTAGGCAAAATTTTCAGATTCAAACCCACATATTCAAGTTCTTGTATCTCTCGTTGTAACTTCGTTTCGCCTCATTTTCGCATTATTGGATTCACCTCATGAGCTAATTTTCGTTTCACCCCCTCATATGCCTTATTCCACCTCTTTTTGCATGCCGTTGGAACTCCAAAAGTTGGCCAAAAATAAAAATAAAAATTTCCTTTTTTTTTTTCAGGTTCAAACTCACATGTTCAAATGCTTGTATCTCTCTTGTCATAACTCCGTTTCACCTAATTTTCATGTCATTGGATTCAACTTATGGTCTAATTTTCATTCCAACCCCCATACAATTTGTTCCACCTCTTTTTGCATGCCGTCAAAGCTCCAAAAATTGGTCAAATTAAGATTTCTCTCCCTCTCTTTTTTTTCAGATTCAAATCTACATGTTCAAGGTCTTGTATCTCCTTCATCGTAACTCCATTTCACCTCATTTTTGTGTTGTTGGATTCACCTCATGGCCTAATTTTCATTCCACCACTCATACGTCTTATTCCACCTTATTTTGCATGCTATCGGAGTTTTGAAAGTTGGCCTAAAATAAGATTTTTCTCTTTTTTTTTTCTTCCTTCCTCTATCTCCTATCTTCGTGGGTTTAAATTTGAAGAGAGAGAGAGAGAGAGAGAGATTTTTTTTTTTTGGCAACTTTCGGAGCTCCAACGATATGCAAAACATGGTAGAACAAGGCGTATGAGGGGTGAAATGAAAATTAGGCCATGAGTTGAATCCAACAAGAAAATGAGGTAAAACGGAGTTATGACGAAGGAAATATAAGGTCTTAAACATGTGTGTTTGAATATAGAAAAAAAAATCCTATTTTTGGCTAATTTCGAAGTTTCGACGGCATACAAAAATAGGTGGAATAAGGCGTATGAGTGGTGGAATGAAAATTAGGCTATGAAGTGAATCCAACGACACAAAAATGAGGTGAAACGGAGTTACGACTAGTAAAGGTGCTCAACGGATATTCTGATCCGTCAAAACTGACTAAATCGAACTGAATCGATCCACCGCATTTTGGACGGATGCGTGATGATGAACAGACGGTTGCAGATTGATTTTTTTCAATCCGCCTAGTTTTGGACAGATGGCGGATTTGAGGTTCATTTGGCTGCAATCGAATTGCCAAACTGCGAGCAACCCTGATAATTTGTAAGACTTTGTATTTTCAATTTATTTAAATATTCTATTTGTATTTTCAATTGAAAAAGAGTTTAGATATTCTGTTGCGTTTTCAATTTGAAAATCCTTTTATTAAATGGCAAATGCTGATATTTGATATTTTTGAGTGAAAAATATAAGGCTTAATTTTGTCATTTAAAAAAAAAATCAAATTAAATAGTTTTTGAATAAAAACAAAGTAATGAAATAGTTTCGATAATGTATGGTTTTCTTATATGTATTTATTATTGGTATTTGACAATTTACTTGATGGTTATGTTGAGTTAAATTATAATCCAAAAGAAATGTTTGACAAATTGTATTATATTCAAAATATATAAAAGTTTAAATCGCTAAGCCAATTCACATCCATCTGCCAATTCGCTCAATCCATATCCGTCAATCCGACAAACGGATGCAGATTATTTTTTTCAATCCGCCAATCTGGCGGACGCATGGCGGATTAAAGGTTCCTTGACCACAACTGAACCGCGAGCACCCCTAATGACTAGGGAGATACAAGGTTTTAAACATGTGAATTTTAAATTTGGAAGAGAGAGAGAGAGAGAGAGAGAGAGAAATCTTATTTTTTTGCCAAATTTTAGAGCTTCGACGGCATGCAAAAAGAGGTGGAATAAGGCGTATGGGGAGTGAAATGAAAACTAGGTTATGAGGTGAATCCAACGACACGAAAATGAGGTGAAACAGAATTACGACGAGAGAGATACAATGGCTTGAACATGTAAGTTTGAATTTGAAAAAAAAATTAAAAAATAAAAAAAATTATTTTTTGCCAACTTTCAGAGCTTCAATAGCATGCAAAAAAAGGTGAAATAAGGCATATGAGGGGTGGAATAAAAATTAGGCTATGAGATGAATCCAACGACACAAAAATAAGGCGAACGACACAAAAATAAGACGAAACAAAGTTACAGTGAGGAAGATACAAGAGCTTGAATATGTGGGTTTGAATCTGAAAATTTTAGATTTCCGTTAGCTAAATGAGACGAAGATGGACGGAGAGGCTACATTGTGATACGAAAGTAACATTAGGGTTTTAATTGTTATAATTGAAACTCTGAAATTTAAATTAAAAAACACGCGAAATCTTTTTTTTTATTATTTATAATTTGCTCTAATAAGAGTCTTTAATCAGGGTTCTTAGGACAAAATATATATATATATATATAGATAACACAAGATGTTTTTTATTAAATTCATTACATTTTTATTAAAATTAATTTTTAATATTTTTACATATTTTTAAGAATTTTTTTCCGTACTTCCCAACATGAGATGTTTGGTAGAGATTATTTCAAGTTAAAAACTAATAAGAAAGTAGAAGTTAAAAACACCCCTCATTCAGCTATTGAAAAATTAATTTTTTTTCAACTTATTTAAATTATTTCTACCTAATAAATTATAAGTAAAAATTATACCAAATAGTCTGCCACAAACTTCCACATTAGAGTAAGTTATAAGCTGCTTCATAATCTCTACCGAACACCACATTAAACAATTGTATAGAAAGGCGCTTGTTAGCATTTGCCCAATAATAATAATAAATATTTAAGCCAACTTTATCTCATTAAGGGTTATTTGAAATATTCTAAATAAGTGTACTTTTTGACTTTTTATGAAATATAGGTTAAATTTAAAATGATGTGATAGAAAGGGGATGTGACTTAAATAGGATAGAAATTTTTTGACTTTTTTAAGAGATGTCAAACCTAGCCTTATTCTCTAATCATTAATTAATCATCTTTTTAATATATCATTGAGTTTAGAAAGTAAACTTATATGTCAACTGTGAGATTTGATGAAAGGTTAAAGGCTCCCTTAATTTGATGAAAAAAATATAACTCCCTTCATTTAATATTAATTTGATAAAATGGTTAAAACATCTTTTTTACCAAATTTCCATCAAATTTATGAATCTGGACTGGAGATGGTCTAAATTGAGACACTATAAAAAGTGCAAGTGTTGGGCAATTGTCACGCGGTCACACCAAGCGTGGGAATTAGCCCTACATCAACAAAGAGAATGAAATCTACTATGATAAATGAGATTATAGACTTGGAATAGTGTGTTATTACAATTAAATTATATATCATCAAAATTTGGATATCATCAATTTATATAAATATTGCGTTTCAATTTTAAATTTAGAGAGAATTTTACGCATGAAAAAGAAGAGGGAAGACAAACATATATTTCATTTATATTTTACAATTTTTTTATTTTCCATTTACAAATTTTAAATTTTTTGCAAAATCTAAATTTCAAATACAGTTGGAAGGTAGAACACATTAAACCATTGAATTAATAACATCAGAAATGAAATCCAACTTTCCAACTGGATTTCAAGATTATTTGTCCAAATTTTCATATCATTTTAAAATTATAACTCCACTCATTTTATAAATTACATATACTCAAAACTTCTAAAATTATGTCATATCATTCGTTAATATACTAATTGGTATATCAATTAGTGCATACAGTATTATTCTATCACATATCATCTTTTTGTTTGATTAATTTCCAATGCGGATTAAACTTTCAAGCTTATTGAGCAAAGGGAAAATCATGAATTTTAATTTTTTAATTTTCACTGGGTCATCTGAAAGAAATTCCATAATTTATAAAGCATTATATTGATCTTCACTAGAATGAAAAATCAACCCGCTTTATTTTAATATAAAATCATTGACCAATAATAAACTCTTAGGAGGGAGAGAAAGAAAAGCGTTGAACTAATAAGCCGACAGAATTCAACAGAGCAAATATATTGACATTTACAGTCGTTAGTATATACTATATTATATTTAAGACTGAAATTTGAATTTACAAATTCAAGATTGAAACGCAATCCAACTTTAACATATTTTTTTTTATGGTGAATTCGGGAAGAATATTATCATAAAAATGTTACTTTTCTTCAACAGAAGATACAAAGGATAGCAGATAAGGTTTGGCGAAAAGTCCTGGAATATGTTCCATTCCTGTCTCTCTCACTCTCTACTCTTTTTTTTGTTTTCCCTTCATTTTTTCTCCTCTTCACACACTACAAAATGCACACGTAACTTCAAATTTATGCAGAAGAGTATTGCTACTAGTCCAACACTTGAAACAGACTCCTGTGGAAAATATTGATGAATCATTCATTGGTTTTATATTCACATCTTAAGTCGATCATGTAAAAATCTCAATACACAAAAAGATTTTAAGACAAAAAAAATCTCATGTCAAAATCAACTTCTATTTCATTTATCTATGAGAAAGAAACATTGACTCTTAAAAGACTGGTGGTTGGTCGCCTAAGTAACCTATTTCTTAGATTTTTATTTGTTTGTTTGTTTAAGTTTCTAATCAATGTAATCTTTTGAAAACAGAACTAAATAAAAACCAACAAAATTCTTTCTTGTATGCTTGGCCATACTCGAACCATATACATTCATCAGTGAGGCTGTTTGACCACTGCTAGACACGTACACGAGACTCTCTCCAAATTTTCCAGTACACTATTTCATCATGAAAATTGAGATTATAAAGTATGAAAGTAACAAGATCCATGACTGACAATTTACCCAAAAAAAAAAGATCAGTGACTAACAGAGTGAAGGAATTCGCAATGACATCTGCACCATGATCTTCTTTCAGTAGTTTAAAGACAGAGAAAGAGAGCATCAATGGCAACTGTATTCATTCCATTTTGAGAGCAATCTTTGCGAAGCACGAAATCTTAACAAACTGATAACTGATTTCATTTCACTTTGAGAACAATCTTCATGAACTCATAGACAAAGTAACTTATAGCAGCCGAAGGTAATACCTGAGGATTAAAAAGAATGAAAATCACAAATACCAGCACCAAAAGTTAGTAGAATGTTGCAATATTCGAAAGTCCTAAGGATCGTATGATTAAACTGTCTGGGAAAATTCAACATGAACTAGAGAGTTAAAAAAGTAAAAAATGATCAGATTAACTTCAAAGGAAAGACGGAAAACAGCTGACCATCTTTTCATGTTTATTGCAAGAGATGTACAACAAAGGTTACTTGGGAATTGGGCACAGTGGGGCAGATACAAATATCATGAGGAAAGGAAGAAATAAACCCTAATAATGCCTAAATCCTAAACCCTAAATATATATAAAATCGTATAGAAGAGATTCCAAATTCGTATCGATACAACTTAATATTTACTATATATTTCATTGGGTTTTGATGTGTTTCACAATGTTTTGTCGTCTTTTGGTGGAATATTGGAATTTTGCTATTCTACTAGTGTTTCGTTTCGATCTCTTAGGAACAGAAAGTTTCCACCATTTTAATGAAAACAAAAGAAAATTTGTTCCTTGTCCTCCCCATAAGGTGTGAATCCAAGCACCCTCTTCACATAATTAATGATCACAAAAACTTGAGTAGACCAAAATTTCTTTGATAATGAATGAGGCAATATGATAGTAACGAATTCATCCTGCATCTACATAACTGGAAATCCAGACCACTACATCTCTACATACCTGTAGTAAACTAGGGAACAATCCTGCATAGAGAGCTGGAAAACCTCCTTGCTCCACTATGTTGACACAAGTAGCCAATGCACTTAATTTAGCTGCTTTACCTTGCAACTGAAGCCGCCTCCGAACAACTTCAAATGGGTAGGTAGCGGCCTCAGCACAAGCACCAGCAATAGCCCCATGCAGCAAGGTCCTCACTGTTCCCAACTCTAGCTGGTCCAAAGCATTCAGTTCCTCACCCTGTTGCTTCATGTTCTGAATTCTTTTCCTTCCTTCAGGTGAATGCAAATAAGCTGATTTCAATATATCATACACACCATAAAAAACTGCACCTGAAGGAGCCATACTAATAATGGAGGGCACTAATCCCTTGTAAAGAGAAAAGAACCCTTCAGTTTGAATCACATGGCGGAAAGCACCAATTACACCACCCAACGCCTCCCCACCAGGTGCCACCAGCTTTGTCCGGATCTGAAAATTTTAGCTTTTTAATCATACTGAAGAAGTACATACATGGTTGAAGCCATCAATTACACATAACTAACAAGATATTCCTATTTTAGGGAGGTAAATCAGTTTAAAAAATGAAAACTTATGCCTTGAGCCACTTCGGGGAAAAGTTCCGTATTGTTCAGGGACAAATATCAAGTGGGTTTTTGGCTTCATTTTGGCTAAAATCTACAAAAAGGCAAAATAGGCTAAAATAGCCAATAAGACAAAATGTCACATCAAACTCATAATCATTTCACTTTTTCTCTCACAAATATCACATCCAACTACAAAAAAATACAACCCTCTTCCCAAACACACAAATTTTAGCCTACTAAAATAGCCAAAAACTAAAATAGCCTACTAAAATAGCTAACTTCCCAAACAAGGCCAATAAACTTGCACCTTTAGAATTGTATGAAGTTTCAAAGTAAAAAGGAACAGAAAAAGAAAATAAGATACATATATACACATATATAATGTTTTAAAATGTTGAAGATCTAGTTTACTCAGTAATTACTCACAAATGGCAATCCAATGTTTTAAAATGTGGATGATCTTGTTTACTAGGTACTCACAAATGGCAATCCAACATTCAAGCGACTACTTTTTAATCCCAGTCAATTCAATTGTTAGCCAGGTGCAAGCCTACAATTTCTAAAAAGGCTTTAGTGAGGAAGACTGCATCGGAATGCGTTTCAGTAGCTAAGCACATCAATTTTCCATCCAGTTAAAATATCATATGTTTTCCAGACAATTCAAGTTCAATAAGAACCCATGCATGTTAAAACAAAAGAGTTTTCTCATGTCCTGCTGTTCATAAAAAAAACAGATTTATTACCCTTATAGCAGATAAAAACATCACAAAATGTAAATGAAGGACAATAAATTTATAACAACTAATAATAGAATCGATGAATGAATATGAAACACTTATGAAGTTGCAACATTAATTAATATGGTTGTCGATCTTTTTCTTTTTCTTCTTTGTTTCTTGTGGTGGTGTTGCTACTGCAAGAAAATTTTAAGTCTACTTGCTTAAGGAAGAATAACCCCAGGTACAAGTGCCACCAGTAACACATGAAAAAGGAAAATAAATATTTCCCATATTGTTACTTACGGTGTCCAGTGGTAGGCACAGAACAGTAGCAGTAATGCCAGCAGAAGCACCAGCAATAAACCTCTCAAAGTTTGTGGTTTCTTCATTCCCGGAGAATTTGAGAAGTCGCTTTCTGTATGTATCATAAGCATAAAAATTGATTGCCTTAAATGGAGCTGTGCGAAGAATGTTAACCAAGTTCCCCTTCCAAAACCCTCTTAAGCCTTGTGAAGCTGCAATGGCTTTGATCAGCTCGAAGAGATTCTTCTGCTCACCACGAACTATATATTCCAGCTTTAGTCTCTCAAGTGGTGCAACGAAAGTTCTGATAAAACAAAATTCATTTGACCACAGGGGAAAAAAGAAAGGGTGCAAAACAAAACAAATAAGTTGTTTGAGATCCCAAATTCGATTTGTTGCTCCTTAGAAACCAATTGAAAATCTTGAATCGCAAAGTGACATGTTGATGTTACTAACCAGTTTCGTGAGGAACACAACAAAGGAAAACAGAGAGAGGATTTTATTCTGGTTCAAAAAAAACCCACGATTATAGTGGAGCTTTGGTTACAAATCAATGTTTGGATTTCATATACTGGTAAAGCCAGAGAAGCACACGAGTTCAGAAGGCAAACCTATTAGTAATGACAAAATACAACTGCCCATAAAGGAATATAACCATTTTTATCACAATGATGTCCAAAATATTATATAATCGTAGCAATGCTAAATGCAGCCATCATAAAAAGATCAATTATTTTATAAGCACATGGTACCATGAAATGCTACCCACAGTTTTAACGCCAGTAAAATGACTTAAACAGTATACAGAAGCTTTTGTCAAATAAACATGCTCTTATTTATGCCTACATGAAAATTGCATCAGTTCATGCTATTATTGCATCAAAGATAGGAATATGTGCAATCTCACATATTTAAAAACAACAAAAGGTTTACATAATTCTGATCATTAAAGCCAGTGTACTAGTCACATAGTGCTCAAAACTATCATGTGAGATTCCTGAATTTTTTCCATATTGCATGCCTCCATACTGCATAAGTCAGAATCAGATTTTCTAATCAAGCCAAATAAACAAATCTTTTGATGTAGGAACAATAGAGAAGAAGGGAGAAGAACAAACGGCCACGGCCCTAAACCTCTCTTAATATTTTACCCTAAGAAACTAACGCTAATATTATTTGGAAACATAATCAAATATTCTAATAACTTATTTATTTAAATCCTAGCTAACATAATACTAATAATAAAAATAGAAATCTACCAATCACATTTATTGGACCAAAAAAATTTTGGACCCACGAGCTTCACCCTAGGCTTCCAAATCCAACAGTGGGCTTCTGGCCAGTCAAGGGCTGCAACATCAATTTTACGAAGAGAACTCTTTTCTGTTGGGTGCCAAGGGGAACCATTCCCCAATACAATACCAGATAATCAAACCAAACCAAGCCTTAAGTCCTATCAAATGGAGTCGGCTACATGAATCTTTCTTCTCTACGCGGCCCTATCAAAAGCCATTTCGTTAGTCAAATTAAGTAGATCCATATCTCTATTTACAACGCTAGCCAACGTTAATTTAGGCCTACTCCGTCCCTTAACACTTTCACCTACCATTACAGCATCGCATCTCTTCACTACTGCCTCTGTTGGTTTCCGTTGAATATGATCAAACCATTTCAATCAACTCTCTCTCAACTTATCTTCTATCGTTGCTACTCCACACATCCACCTTAGCATCCTCATCTCAGCCACACTCATCTTATCTACATGTTGTTTCTTGGTTGCCTAACACTCTGTCTCATACAACATCGTTGGTCTAATAGCCGTTCTATAGAACTTACCTTTTAGTCTAGTGGGTATTCGTTTATCGCACAGTACCCAGATGCACTTCTCCACTTACACCATCCCGCCTTAATCCTATGGGCCACATCCGCATCAATCTCCCTCGCTGTTGTAATAATCGACCATAAATAACGAAAATATTCACTCTTAGGCAGTTCTTGATTCTCAATCTTCACTTCTCTGCTTTCATTGTTACTGTTACTAAATTTACACTCTATATACTCTATCTTAATTCTATTTATTCGGAATCCTTTAGATTCAAGAGTTTTTCTCCAAATCTCCAACTTTGTGTTAATTCCTTCTCTAGTCTCATCCACTAACATGATATCATTTGCAAAAAGCATGCACCATGACACGTCATCCTGAATATTTCTCGTCAACTCATCCATAACTAAAGCAACCCAATACAATACTAGATACGAAAAATTAAAGACGAATACACTTGGAACCTATCCGAAGGTCAATTTTTTTACCTAGTCCAGTCACTTACTAAAAAAGCTAACATATGAGAATATCATGGGAATATAAACTGAAGAAGTTTTGAAAATTGTAATCAGAAGTGAGAAGAACGCTTTCTACAAGATACATACCAAATAATTCATACTTTATGATGATGCATGAGGACCAAGTGGTAATGATACGCAAACACAACAGAATCCGGTGACAAACCATTTTTCTTCTCTTCTTTTTTTTTCCCGAATCAAATCTTCGGTAGTTAATTCTGATTCTTCTCTTTTTCTACTGTTCAATTACTTGGTATTTGTGTATGCTACATTCCATGACTGAAGTCTAGCTTACCCCACCCACATAAATATATATTGAATGTATCACCTTAGTTCACTATGAATAAAAGAACAATTCTGGGGATGATATGAGGTAGGCTAAAGAAACAAAGGAGAAACAAATTCAGGCCTCATTTGCCAAAATGCCAAAAAGCCAAAAAAAACTACTAAAAAAGTCAAAAGGTTACTAAAAAAGTCAAATCATACACACTAGTTATTCATGTTTTTCCGTACAAATAAAAAAAGTTATTCCCAAACACATTAACTTTTTTCTTTTGCTAAAAAAGCCAAACCCCAAACGAGGTCTCAAAGCTTCCAGCACCTCTGCCCACATATGGTACATGTCTTATGTTCAGTCCCTGCTTTTCTTAGGGTTTTCAAAAAGAAAATGGAAAGCTAGAGAGAGAGAGAGAGAGAGAGAGAGAGAGGTGGAAAACCAAAGCGTTTTGATTTAATCTAGTTAATGAGGTTAGCAAACGGGAGTTAAATTGAACAGTGTTGTTTTGACCTTCTCATAGTTCAGTGTGTGTGTGGCAAAATTTGAGCCGTCACATGCAATAAAATAGTAACGCTAAATGATCGAAACTTTCTGACTGTCTCATCCAGTTAAACTACCAACTACAAACAAGTCAAATCCTATTGAAACCCCAAGCGGTTTATCACAAACAGAAGTTAAATTGAACAGTGTCGCTTTGACCATATCATAGTCTAGTGTGCGTGTGGCAAAATCTGAACCATCGCATGCAATAAATTAGTGACATATAATGATCGAAGCTTTTTGACTGTTTCATCTAGTTAAACTACCAACTATAGACAAGTCAAACCCTAATCAAATCCAAACGGTTTATTAACGTAAAATTCACATGAGTAGTTTGTCATTGGCAATTTTTAGTGGCTTTTTAACCCCCCCCCCCCCTTTTTTTTTCTTTTTTAAGAATCTTAAAAAATTGATGCATTTGGGAAATTGCTAAAAAATCTTTTTCTGTTAGTGAAAAAGTTGAGCGACTTCTTAGCTTTTTTAGCTTATGACAAACTAACTTTTGGCTTTTTGGCTTATTTAACATACCAAAAATTTATTGGGATTTTGTTAACATGTGCCCTTAGGCCCCATGTCAAGAAGTTTTAAAAAAATCATACATTCTCAAAAAGTGTTTGCAACAAAAAATGTACAATCTTCTTTAAAAACTATCTCAACACGTGTCCGAAGGACCAGCGTGAACAAAATCCTTTTTCTTTTGGCAAGTACCAAGTACTAACATACCATATTATGGACTAGTACGCTCCAGCAATGCCTCTATGAAGAATGAAATCCAATAACTTCTGAACTATTTCTCTAGATGGAACGCACAGGAGAATAAAGAAAAGAAGAAAAATTTACCAATCAATTTAATTGAATTTAATTACATCTTTGGCACTAGTCACAAGGGAAAGAAATACTTCCTCCATCCCATTTATGTGCCCTACTTTACACAAATGAATGATAAGTATCTATATATATATATATATATATTTTATGAACAATGAGATCTATTATTGCCTTTCACATATTCTCGGAATTTAAAGTAGGTGCGAAAAACAACTGTTACATTTTTTGACATTTTAATGGGACTTCTAAAAGGAACACAAGATTTGTTTTCACCTTTAATCATAAATGAAACTTCAATAGAAAATTCCATAGAAACAAATAAGATTCATGTTATCTTTCTTACTGATACTGATTACCGAAAATTTAAACAGAAAATAGACATATTTGATAATTAATGATATCAAAGCAAGCAACACAGAGGCAGTAATAGGGTTTATGATAACAATGCAAGCAACAATTGTAGTAACCGTTAGAACCAGTAACAGACCTAGACACCATGGCGGCAACAGCTCCGGCCCAAAGATGTTTCGTGGTGTTCATCGCGCCACGTCGCCGTAATCCAACCTTCTGCTTCTTGCCCATTTCAACCACCGCATTAGCAATCGCCTCTTCCTCCGAGTTCTTCTCTCCATTCTGAAGAAGCTCGTCGCTTCTCTTGATTGACAAGCTCACAGACAAAAATTCACCGCCGACCGTCGCCGGAACCCTACTTTCCCGCCTGGAAACCCCCAAAACCACCGGCCTATGACGAGAACTAGACGAATGTACTGAATTTGAAGCACTATTCGAAGTAGTTCTCGTGGAAACTGAATCGATAATTGAAGAAGAAACAGTGGTTTCGAGGAATAGACCACCGAGAAAGGAAATCGAATTGGCGTCGAAATCGATTGGGACTCGAGTTTGAGATTGCTCAGAGGAAAGAGAGTTTCTCAAGAAGCCATCGAGTCCCGGCATTGTAACATGCGAGGGGGGGCTTGAATATGCTATGTGTATATATATGAGTGATTGTGTGTTGATATGAATTGGAGTGTGTGTGAAGGTGAATTGTTTGTGTTTGTTTATGGTTTATGAATTGGTTTTGGGAGATTGGGTTCCTAGGGTTTGGAATTTGTTTGACATTGTTAAGTGTTTATCTTCTTGGGATGACATCTGGAGTTGGACATGACAAGGAAGAAATGGCGGAAATCGAGCTTTGCTTCCATCGCCGCACGTAGTAATCACTTCTCTCTTTTCGTCGACTGAGGTGGTGTTTGTTATGTAAAATTTTGGGTAAAATGGTCAAGAAGATAAAAAAAAAATTAAAAAAACATAATTAAATAAGACATCGAGTGTTGATATATATATATATATATATATTATGAAAAAGTACCAGGGGTAGAGTTGGTTTGCGAGTTAGTTTTTTATTTTTTTGGCCTTTTAATTATTTTAGTCTGGGTTAAAAAAATTTGTTTGAGATAAACTTTTTGTTTTTTTGAATTTTGTGAAAGAAAAAATAAAAAAATTATAGGTTGAATATAATGTTTTGTCTTATTAAGCTAAAAAATCTATTTTATCTTATTGTGATTAAAATAGCCCCAAACCCAATCCAATCCATTTTCCCAAACGAATGCTTAATACATTACATATTCAATATATCTAATAAGGGTAAATTACACTAACATCCTTGAGATTTGATTCAATTATATCTCATCCTCTGACGTTCTAGAAATTACATTATCACCCTTATGGTTAATAATCTCATTTTACAAAACCCTTACTTATATAAAAGGCAACAACTTTTAGTAGAAAAATAAAAGAAATTACATTGGAAAAAAAAAGTAAAGCAAAGGAAATAAAATAAAAAAAAAAATCAGAGGAAGTAAAGTAAAACAAGAAAAGACCGCATGAATTTAATGATTTCATTCCGTCAAATAATTACAATGACAAAGGGGTTAATATAATTTTTCAAATGTCAAGGGGTGATATGTATTAAATTTAAACCTCAGGGGGTGTAAGTGTAATTTATCCATCTAATAAGAAGTAGTCTAATAAAGTATATCAAATTACAAAATAGATCCCAAAAATATATAAACCAGAAAACTTCCATGAAATGAGGAAATCTCTATCTAGAGAGATATTATTGCAATACAAAAATAAATATATAAATAAACTAATCACCATCAAACAAATAATACCAATCACTTTTATGATCCGTTCATCGTCGTAGTAACGAAAAATAAGAAGAAGAAGAAGAGAAAGAGAGCATAAATGGTGAATGGTGTTAGGAATGGCTATTTTAGCGAAAAATAAATATACAAAGTGATTCGTTCATCGTCGTAGTAACAAAAAATAAGAAGAAGAAGAAGATAAAGAGAGCATAAATGGTGAATGGTGTTAGGGATGGCTATTTTAATCCGATTCCCGGAAGTTTGCCTGTACCCACCAGAATTGGGTGGATTTTACCTGCCCCGACATGTATGTAGAGTGAGGGTGGATTATGTTTTAATCACCCGTAAACGGGAATGGGACGGGAGTGGGTATCACATCCCCCGATCCAAACCCGACTCGAAATAATTAATAATATATAAATAAATAAATATATATATGTATATAATATAATTAGATATAAGAAAATAATATTAAAAGTTTGTGATTCTATTTAAATATAAATAAATAATAAACCTAAAGGTCCAGGACGGGGTTGGAGTTTAAAATTTTCATCCATAGTAGGGGTGGAGTTTGTCTGCAGGGGTGGGGTTGGGGCGCGGGAAATGACAAGCGCGCCCCATGGCCATCTCTAAGTGGTGCACACATAGTGCCGTTTTGGCAACACACCAAAAACGCAGCTTTTTGTGTGTGTTGCCAAAAACGCCAGGTTGTCCAAAACGCCCCAAATCCCATTTGGGAAGACCAAAAACACAACACCCATAATCCTAAAAGTCCCACTGTTTATATATATGGAAATAAATATATATATATATATATTTAGTGTGCTAAGAATTTAAATATTTCTCAATTTTTTTAGCTATTTGAAATGTGGTTGGGTATCCGCGAGTATCTGCAAGGACGGGGATGAAGTTTAAAATTTTCATCCATAGTAGGGGTGGAGTTTGTCTGCAGGGGTAGGGTTGGGGCGCGGGAAATGACAAACGCGCCCCATGGCCATCTCTAAGTGGTGCACACATATAAAGCATGAACCGTCAAAACTAGAGAGAGAGACAGAGAGTGAAGGATCTCATATTTGAGATTTGTGAACTATCATTGTTCGACAACAGCAATGATGGTGAATGATCTCAAATCTAAAGTCATAAACGCGACGACTAATAGTGGAAATGAAGATGGTATAAAAAGAATTCCATAATAAGTGGTCGTAGCATCGGTGGAGAGCAATGGTGGTAAGTGAGCGAGCGAGACAGAGATCATAGAGAGTGAGACGAGAGAGAGCAAGAGAACATAGAAAGAGAGATACACATCTGATATATATGAGAGTATTATAATAAAATAATTTTTTTTAAAAAAAATTCTAGAGATTTTGAAAGTACACATAATTTTTGTTATTTTAACAAGATAAGGGTCTCACTAAGAATTTATGGCCAATTTTTCATAGTTAAAATTTAAAATATCAGATATCTTAAGTAAAAATTGTAACCATAGAGAATATATCTTTTTAGTACAATAGAAGGTTTAGCATATGTTTAAAATATAATAATGACTACAAGTTGACCTGTGTAATGTATATGTTGTTGTTGTTGTTTTTTTTTTTTTATAAATATTTAATGGTATAATATGTGTTATAAAAGAATAATTTTAATTTTAATTAAATTATAACTTTAACTATTTATTTTGATATATATTAATTTTAGTTAAATTATTTATGTATTTTGATAATTTTAGTTCTATCATATTATAAAAGTATAATTATCATAAAATAATTTTGTATGATATATATTAAATTATAAAATAATAAAATAAATACTGATTTTGATATTAAAAATAATAGTTAAATTAGAAAAAGAATTAATAATATAAAATTAAAAGTAATTCTAACTATTTAATTTAATTTTATATTCATTTAGAAAATAAAAATATGTAGAAATAGAAATTATATAAAATTTATTAAAAAAAATTAAATATAAATACGTTGTAGTTGGATAATCATATAATGATTTTATATGATATATATGCATATATATATATATTAAATTATAGGATTGTAAAATAAATTCTCTTAATTAAATTAAAATATCAACTATATAAAAAAAATTCAATAACGACTAACCAAAAAAGAATTACATAACAACATCTAAACTCAAAAAGAAAAAATAATGAAAACATTCAAATGATATATACATCTTAGTGTGTGAAGTGATTAATCATTTGTAATATGATGTTAAAATATAAAAAAAAACTTATTGTTCAATAATTGAAAAAGTAACTCATGTAGTAAATCAAAACTTTAGAGGTTTTTCAAAAGTATAATTGTTCTGCAAGTTTCTTCTCTTGTAAGTTGTGATTATATAAAACAATATAAGAAATGAAGTATTTCATATATAGAATCATTATAAAATTTAAACTACAAATCGATAATATAGAATAATATATGATTGATATTGAGTTTGAATAATGCATTGAAAAAAAAAAAGGCAATTTAACATTAAGAAAATACTAACTCTTGAAAGAATTAAGAAAAAAAAACGTGAAATGCAAAATTGGTATTGCGCTTGTGGATTATCTTAATTTATGATGAAAAATATATGAAAAAGAAATATTGGTCAAATAGAGTCCATATAAAGTATGTAAAGTTTAGTATAATTTAAATTAAATTTGGGTTTGTGTAAAACATATAATTAAGAAAATAAATACGGATGTGACTCTATTACAAAAAAAGTAAACCTTTATAATGTGCCACCTAAGTATGAAAAAATATTACTTTTAATAATATATATATATATATATGATTATAAATAGATAATTATAAATGATCTATGAAAAATATTTGATTTGGACAATTACATAATAATAAGGGAGAAAATTAATTTAGTAAATGAATCAATTTATACAAAATGTAAAGAAAAATTATAGAAAAATAAATAAATTATGAATTTTTAATTTTATCAATTTAAAATTTGAATTTTAAACTTTTGATTTTATTTTAATACAAATTATCTGTTTATTATTATTAAGTAAAATTATTTTTAAAAAAAAGATATTGTAATCATTAAAATAAATAAAATAATAAAATTTTAAATATTTTATGAGTAAAATACATTTTACTGTGTTTAAATTGACCATCCCATTGGTTACTCCCGCGTGGAATCACCTTGCTGCCACCCACAGTGAATCACAACATCCGCAACCGGTCCAACCGCCTCTGATGAGACACACGGGACAACTCGAAGTCTATAAATACGACATTACTTCGCGCCCATTTCACGTTCAACATTTTTCGCAGAGCTGCCGAGACCTCTTCAGAGCGAACGCTCCGAGATCAAATTTCTAGGGTTTTGTCTTCGATTTATTTCAACTTCTCGAATCGAAATTAATTTTCCAAACTTGGGATCTATATCTTCCAAAACTGATTTCAAGTTTTTCTTCTATTCAGTTCAGCGAATAAGCTCTACACTTCGAGAGTCGAAGACGCTCTGAGAGCAAAACTTCGAGAACCGAATTCTAGGGTTTTTTCATTACGTTTCTGTTCGATTTCGAAATGCATAAGCTGGTAGGGTTATCAGGCATGAGGAGCTTGGATCAATTCAAATCGTTGTCAGGATCTGCTTCAGGAGCGGCCAAAACCAGCTCGATTTCTTCACGGCCGTCCTCAGATTCAGTTTCGTATGGAAGTTTTGCGAATTTAAAGATCACTGCAGGTACTTTTTGGAAAACCTTGCTCCATGGTTGAGTTTCCGTGGAAAAAGAATGTTTTTCATGATTCTGTTACCGTTTTCTTAATTTTCAGAGAAACTGGTTAAAGAACAAGCTTCTGCAAAAACCGACCTTGAATTGGCAGTATGATGAACACATGCATCTCTCTCAATATAATTGTGCATCTGTAGCATATTTTTAATCTATATGTTGGGAGTATCTTGCTTAATTTTGATAGAACAAGAGTCTGATTAAGAATTTTGACACGAGCAGAACTCTAAGATGAAGAAATTGACAGAGCATATTCATGCATTGGAGGAGAAACTGCAGATCGCATATAATGAAAATGCCAAACTCAAAGTGAAGCAGAAAGAAGATGAGAAGCTTTGGAAAGGATTGGAATCTAAATTCAGTTCAACAAAGACTTTCTGTGATCAATTAACTGAAACTTTACAGCACCTAGCTGGTCAGGTTCATGATGGTAGGTTTATTCAACTTTCTGACAACTGGCTTTATGATATTTTTCAAAGTTGTAAGTACTCTCTACATCTGCTTTAACAGCTGAGAAAGACAAGGAATTTTTTGAAGATAAGCTATCTTCCAGTGCAGCCGCTCTTGATAATTTGCACGACCAAATGAAGACGTTGTCTTTGAGATTTGAGTCTTCAGAGGAAACTGTTGGAAATTGTAAGTTATCCTTATTTCCTATATCATAAGAAGTTTTCAGATAATTTTCAACAATAAGAACTGTTGATGCTACCAAACAGAAGCTTATCATAAATTTGTAAGCAAAGAACCAGATATTTCCATTTGCTTCACTTCTTTGCAGAGTTATGAAATGTGTTTGAATTCTGAATGCAGGCAAAAGAGAGTTGAAAGAACTCAGCATTGAAAAAGAGGAGAGGGAGAAATATTTCAGAGATGAACAGTGCAAAACTACCAATGTCATTGAGGAAAAAGGTAGCCTCTTCATTGACTGCTTCTGCTTATGGTCTGTTTCTGGACTGGCTACCCCATCAGGACTCAAATTACTCTGGTTCAAGACCAAGTCATTGAAATAATGTATTAATGAGTAGCAAATTAAAGCTTGCATCCTAAAAAAGCTGCATGAAAACACTTTGAGGTTAACATACCTAACGGTTCACATCTTGCCTAGAGTAAGGTGCAGCCAATGTACATGCCTCATGTGACCTTCTTTCCTTATTTGGGAAATTAATAGATTTGACCAAAATATGGTTTGTCATAATATCATTAAATTACTCTGGTTCAAGACCAAGTCATTGAAATAATGTATTAATGAGTAGCAAATTAAAGCTTGCATCCTAAAAAAGCTGCATGAAAACACTTTGAGGTTAACATACCTAACGGTTCACATCTTGCCTAGAGTAAGGTGCAGCCGATGTACATGCCTCATGTGACCTTCTTTCCTTATTTGAGAAATTAATAGATTTGACCAAAATATGGTTTGTCATAATATCATTAACATTTGAAGACAATCTGAACAGTTGTTGTAACAATAAGGCTTGCTGAGTGAGTTGAATTGAGCTCGGTTTCTATTACCAGTTTGCTGCTGCTGCCACCCCGCTCTTCCTATATTAGTGATAGTAGTAATATTACACATTTAACTTAATGATTCATTTAATGAATTTTAATGCATTTGGAGTTTTAAATAAGCCATTCCAATTGGAAACAGAGGCATACTTCTATAATTGTGTGCTTGCGGAAGTGTTTTTGCGCGTGGACGTAGGCCGGTTTGCCGAACCACGTTAAAACTCTTGTGTTTTTGCTTGTGAGTGTCCCCTGGTGTGCCCACGATCCGCAACATAGGAGTTGTAAGTCTATCACATGATAATAGCAATTGGCTTCTGATCTAAATTTCTATTAATAGACTTGCTTCTTGTTTTTCACACAGATGCTATGATCAAGCATTTGGAAGCAACTGTATCTGCTACCAGATTGGATATGGAGAGCCTAAACTCAAAGATGGAAGAGTTGCATGTTGGTTTGAAATTTAAGGAGGACGACATTCAACGTTTGAGAATCTCAGAAGAGATCTTGGAGAAAGAAAAGAGTGATCTTCTATCTAGCAACAAGAGATTTTCTAGCAAACTAGATATGGCACTCCAACAGATAAAGAACCTTGAAGATTTTGCCAATCTGGTGACTGCAAAGTTAAATGAACTGGATAAACAAAGTTTGACCTTTTCAGACAAGGTTGTTCAGCTAAACTCTTTGTATGACTCCTGCTTTAAGTTGGGTCAGGAAGAGAAATACCTTGCTTCTCAGTGTGCTAAAAAGCAATATGATCAACTCCACAATCTGTCCTTGCACGTAACATCAGAAAAAGATGCACTGCAATTGGTGAATCAGGAGTTAAACAATAAGATCATTGAACTTCAGAAAGATCAAGAATTTTCAGTAGTACAGCATGCAGAAGAATGCCATTTAGCAGAAGAGAGAATTAGGAGTTTGGAATCTGAAGCAGAAAGTCTTCTTTCTAAGAAGTCTGAAATGGAATTGTTGGTTACCAAATCAGAGGAGAAAATTAAAACTTTATCAGAAAGTTCAAGTTTATCTGAGAGTAAAATGGTAAATGTATTCATATGTAAAATATATTTTATTTGTGCTATGTTGATATGCTTGACAATTTTGTTTCTTTCTTCCGAACCTTGCAGCAAGATTTGTTGCTGAAATTTTCAGCATTAGAATCTGAGAGCAAAGATATTACAGAAAAACTGCAGGAGGAGATACAGAAAAAAGCAGGGGAAATGGATGTTTTGCAAATGGAGATTGACAAGCATGAGCAGCATGTAGATTCGTTGGAGAAGCAAGCCAGCCAGCTTCAAACTATCCTAGAGGAGAAGGAACAGCATATTCAGCGATGTAAGGACAGAGAGAAACAGCTGGAAGATCAAAAAACAGAGGTTTTCAAAAATATTATAATTACTAAATAATACAACTAATTTGTTCCTCTTGCTTTAATATAATTAATGGAATATATGATTGCAGGTTCAGGCATCACTGGCTGATGCCGAAAGTAAACTTGCAGATGCAAAGAAGCAATACGATATGATGCTAGAAAGTAAACAATTAGAATTGTCAAGGCATTTGAAAGAATTATCTCAGAAAAATGACCAGGTGCCACCCTTCGCTGTATACTTTATATTTGTAAACAATGATTGAGCGAGCTTCTTTTGATTAACTCTGGTGGAGTTTCCATATCACTGGCTGATGCCGAAAGTAAACTTGCTGATGCAAAGAAGCAATACGATCTGATGCTAGAAAGTAAACAATTAGAATTGTCAAGGCATTTGAAAGAATTATCTCAGAAAAATGACCAGGTGCCACCCTTCGCTGTATACTTTATATTTGTAAACAATGATTGAGCGAGCTTCTTTTGATTAACTCTGGTGGAGTTTCCATCAGGCCATTAATGATATCCGCAGGAGGTTTGAAGTTGAGAAGCTAGAGAGTGTCAATATTGAGAAAGAAAAGGTATGGTCATAATCCTGGTTAGTTGCAATTTCTTTTGGTCGTGAATCATGTTGCTTGCATGCTTCACCTTCAGGCTGATAAAGCTGTTCAAGAAATGGAAAGCAAATGTGACCAAAAGCTTGCAGAATGCAAGGAAGAATCACGACAGTATTTGATGCACATACAGGAGGAACAAGCTGCTTTGGTATGTATTCAAATTTCCAAAGGCAAAGCATCTAACATGAGGTTGTCAATCATTATTTTTCATTCTACTGCTTTACCTTTTGATAGATTTCAGATAATTTTATATATCATGCAAGCTAAAATTAAATGGTCAATCATTATTTTTCATTGTACTGGTTTTACTTTTGATGGGTTTCTAATCATAGTATATCAGAAATCAAGTCTTGCAGATTCTTAGTAAATTTCTTGTTGCAATGCTTTCAAAGCCATTCTTGCAGGCGCATAGTATTTCGTTTGCATTCTTTAATTGCTTCAAACCTGCATATAAAGATATGGCTAGAACTTCCTTCTTTTATTTCTTATGCATACCTGAGTGAAGTAATGATTTTGTAAATCAGGAAGCTCATGAGCTTAGCTTTTGGTCTTTACATACTGTCAACTAAATTACAGCATAAGTATTCAATCTGCAATTGGCACCATGATTATTAAAAAGAAGTGTTAGAAAATTTAAAAAGAAAAAATGCTCACCCTTATCTCCAGATTGTAGTTATACAGTTCAGCAAGGAAAGTGTACTGATTTTGAAGGCACATTTTGCATGCTTTTTCCCATACTGCTAGCCTGCTACTCAAATATTGTTTATTCAAGAATTTCTAATCTATAAAATGGTGTTATGTACAAAAGATCACTGATTGATTTTTGCAATGTCCATTTGGTAGATCACTCGTATTAAGCAGGAGCATGATATGAAGGAATTGAACCTTAAATTGAACCACAGTGAAGAGCTAAAATTTGTTCAACTTCAAGCTGAAAACGAGTTGAGAGAGGTACATATATAATGTATGAACTGTCAAGTTTGACATTGAAGATTGATGCAATTGCTAACTTTTCATGAATTTCTTTAGAAAACAACGCTACTCAGGAATGAACACGAAGTGCAGTTAAAGGCCTTGAAGGGTCAGCATGAAGATGAGTGCAAGAAACTAAAAGAGGAGTTGGATGCCCAGAAATCCAAAGTATGTAGTTTTACTTAAGTTATGTGTTGATAAAGTCATCTGCCTTTTCTAATTTGGTCTAGTATATAACAGGAAGACAGGCAAAGGGCGCTGCTGCAATTGCAGTGGAAAGTAATGGGTGACAAACCACAAGAGGACCAAGAAGTAAATTCAAAAAAGGTCAGACAGATTGCTTCCCCTGCCCTCTTCACTGTCCATGTTTGAGCATGTGTCCTCACAGATGCAAAGACTACCAATTTTTTACATAAATTATAATAACTACTATTGAATATGAGAAGACATGAAATTTTAAAGCAGGTTAGCAGTTTGCCAGTGACAATAGTAATAAATCATTCTGACCAAATAGGACATTCCAAAGTATACACTAGCAACAGATTCATTACAAACTCTAGTTTTCATCTCCAAAATTCAACTGGATATGCTCCTCTTGGAAATGCTATGAGCATGTTGGATCAAACTCTAAACCAACGTTTAAATGTGAATTTGAGTGCATGTTCAATCATTCTTGGAGTGAAATGTTTTTGCAATGAAAGGATAGGAAATTTTGCCCCACTATACATATGGGAGTCATTTGCTACACACGCTCATGAAAAACAGGGTTGCTTACATACCTATAAGAATCTTTCATGATGGCACAAATATTACTATGTGGAAAAGTAAATCTTTTATTTATGCTTGGGTAAGTTTTATCTTTTACCCCAATTAGTAAACAGGACATTTGTGGGTGATAAGCCGTGTGCACCAAGTTACTAGTTCTAGGCACCATAGAGTTGTGACCTGGTGCGATGGAAAGTGCTCATTTGCCCGAAGAGTTGTGGCGTGTGTTCGAGTCACTAGAGTCAACATCTCCACAAAATGGTGGGGGTAAGCCTGCCTACCCATAACCTGTCCCACACCTTGCTGTAAAGCGTGATCGGTGGGCACTGGGTACAACTTTTTTCTATCCATAGGCACCATGCTTTACCTTTGAATTAACTATGAAGTCTATAATGCTCAGAGGGAATATGTTCATTCTTATGGATTTTCTGATAATATTGGTATTTAATGTACAATGTAACCCTTGGGAATGCTGTAATGTTCAAAGGAAGCAGCTTGCCTCTAGTCCTTAATTGGATTGGACGGTGCTGTTCGGCCCGTGGAGGCCCACCACGGGTCCTATTTTGATAATCCGAACCGTCAATGTGTAGAACTCGTCGAGTACTACATGGCTATAAAAATCACGTTGATCGGATATTGATAGCTATGCGATCAAATCAGTTTTGTATAAAAAAAAATGGACGGTGAACAAATTAACAGTTGACAAAAAACTGATAAGATGAGATAGCTATCGATATCCGATCAACGTGATTTTTTACAGGCATATGCTACTCGACGAGTTCTACACATTGAACGGTTCAGAATATCAAAACGGGACCCATGGTGGGCCCCCATGGGCCAAACAACACCGTCCAGTCCGATTAAGGACTGGAGGCAAGCTGCCCCCTCGACAGATACAGATATCAATATGATATAAGATTGTTTACTGGCTGCTTTTACAGAGGTAACTGATTGATCTTCCGCATTACAAAGTGATGATGCATTTGCTGCAGTGTTTTCGAAAAGTCCATTTTGAGTTAGTGTGACAATATTAGTGTGTGAAGTTTGTGGTATGAGATTTAGTTTTCTAAATTCTTATATGAAGGCAGACCAAGAGGGCATTGCATTTATTTAATTGCATTAGAGGCAGATGTGTTTAACAAAAAATTATTACAGATTGGACAGCAGGTTTTCTTGGGAGTTTTCTCAAGTACAACTGAAGCAATAATTGATCTATTTAATCATTATTATACTATAGGAAAATGTGATTTAGTTTTGTTTAATATCTCAGAATTATTCTACTACATCAGCGAAGATGAGAAATTCTGATGGTCACAGAAGAAGTGAGCGTGCTGTGGTTAATGTGGAAAATGAAGCTAAGGTGATAAAGAAAGATACAATCAGTTTGCCTCCCTTCACTTAGATTAAATCCTTGCTAAGCGTAAAATAAATGTGATCTCAATGCGTAGTGCTTTGTTGACTGTAGAATTCACCTTACCTAAGGACAACACAGACACCCATATCAAACTTGTTGAAGAAAGTGGAGAAGGCGAACACTGGAAGTGTTATGAGTATTCCAAAGCATAGTAGGAAGGTGAGTTATTTCTTTACTCTGCTGCTCTGCATTAGTTTGTGAGTGTACATATTGTTTATATAATACATGTGTATCTATATACTTCGGTGTATAAATTCAGTTTTGAGTGCAAACCTTACTTATGTTTGTACCGAGGTATGATGGAGTTTGAGCAGGCAATATGTTTTGATTTCTGTGGGGGAGTAATGCTTCTTTTCTTTCTATTGTTTTATTTGTTTCATTTTTATTGTTATCATTCTTGTTTCTTCTGTTATATTGATTCAGGCATTTTTTTTTTTTTAATGCATTGATTCAAGAGTTTGGTCCATTCATTTTTTAGTTATGCGTACATTCAGATAGGACTCCTATCTCACAATTTATTTATTTTCCTGGATTTCTCTGTGGCCTGGCAGGTAACACACCGTGAGTATGAAGTTGAAACATCTAATGGTAAAACAATTACGAAGCGAAGGAAAACTAAAAGTACAGTCATGTTTGGGGTACAGACATTCTCTTTTTGAAAGCAACAGTCTCCATGCGCACTTATATAAAAGATATTATGACTAATAGCATGACAGGGTGCTTCTGTGTATGTTTCCTCTTTGTTTAATTGTGTCTATGTTATGGTAGGGCCAAAGAAAGCATAAGAAGATAGAAACACCAAAAGCTAATACTCCCAAAGATGTACTCAAGGTAACTAACACTCCATTCATCCTGTGGTAAAGTGAACTATTCTATTGGAGACTGTAGTAGTCATTTTGGTTAGGTTGGTGTTAGAATCCTTAATTCCTGGTTAGCAGTTCAGTTCCTTTACTTCTTCTGAGTTGCTTTGGAAGGTTGGTCCTGTCCTGACTAGTAGTAGAAAGAATGTTTTATTGTCTAGTAAGGATAGGTATTGTCTGTAATTAGTGCCCCAAAAATGTCATGCTTGAAAATTTTTATGATCTATATATTTAGTGTGATTGGTTGTTATTAGGCATTTGGGCTACCCTTCTGTATCTTTAAGGTTGTGTTTGCATTTATAAATTTGAAATGAATGGATTTGGAATCACTTATTCAAGGAGTGTTAGCTTTAATTAAATGTAGTATTTTAGAACTTAGATATAGATTTTGAGAATGGATTTGAGAGTTTTAGAATAATGGATTTGAAATAACTCGGTGAACATGGCTATTTAAAATCCTTCCATACTAGTACAAAACTATTAACAAAATGCATCTCTCCTATCTCCAAGTCATCCTTTACTTTAAAATTATCAATCTACATCTGATAGTTAACCTTCCAACAACTTTATAAAATTCAACCTCAAATCCTTTAATTTCAAATCCTCTTATGCAAACAGAGTCTAAATACTTGTACGTTATCTTCAACTATACGCTTTAATTGTATGTTCAGCAAACTACAAGATAGTTATTTGTACAATCCTTGTGCAGGGAATCAAGGGAGGGAATCCACACCCTTCCAACATAGGTGATTTGTTCTCAGAAGGGTCTCTGAATCCATATGCAGATGATCCCTATGCATTTGATTAGAGGTATCTCTAATTCACCTTAATCCTCTCAACTAATTGTTTTTGCTGCTTTCCTTCATTCTAAGCTAGTAATCTTTTTGACAAACTCAACACCTCCACTGTATGGAATTTTTATTGTGTCTCTTACCATTGCATGGAAGACAATTTTCTTGTGATATTAAATGAATTTCATTTTCATCCACCTAACCACCAGACTTAGATCAGAAAGTTGAGGGTTGAGTCTTTAAACCCCGCTCAGCTGGTGTTGACATTTTACCAGTTCACTTTCACACACACGCACACACATATGTACAGGCATCTACATTATTATCTATATGCACATGTATTATTTGATTTTACATAGAGAACAGCCATCCCCGAAGCATATTAATATGCAGACAGTTGCCAATAGTACGTGAAAAGTTCTTTTAAGGATGAACTTGGTTAAATATACCTATTACTCTGGCTCATTTATGTTATTTTTCTTCTGCAAGAAAATCATTTCCTGGATTGAACCAATGGCACAAAATTATTGAAGCAAAGTCTTTTGTTCTTTTCCATGTCCGGATAACGGTGGTGCATCTGGACTACTTCACCGACAAGCGACAGCACATGTCATGAACTTTCTGTGCAAGAGCTTGGAGTACATTCTTTTTTTTTTTTTTTCACTTCCATACTGTAACACAGAAGTAATAACTTTTGTCAGTTGATATGCCTATGTCTTCTGTATCATAATATCACTTCTGGACTTGGATGTTTAGATTGTTGAACTGTTGTGTAGGGGAAGCATGAGGAATGGAAGACATCTGAAATTCTGTGAATGAAGTAGGACATATTCTTTAGACTTTAATTGTTGCTAGTATTCCATACGAGGTGCAGTGGTTAGATTCAACAGCATTTTTGTGAATGTATGGGAAAAGGCATTTTGCAGTGGAAGGTTTTTTTTTTTAATGCCAATCTGAAACTGATTTGTGTGCTTTGGTGGAATTGCTGATGTAAGAATTGGCTTAGTAGAGCACTACATTTGAAAATATTTCTCTAATTTTACTATTCTGTGTGTTTTAGTTACATTAGGTTGTGTAATGTGAGCTGTAAAAAAAAGTAAAAGGTTGCCTGATGGGATTGTATGGATGATAGTAATTTTGTTTTTGTTTTCTTGTTCTATTTCTTGGTAGGGGGAAGGGTCTACCTCCCAGGTGCCGTATCTGCCTGTGGAAAAGACACCAGCACTTCTTTTGAAATGGTAGTGTTATTCCTATTGCATTTAAAACTAAAGGAGATTTACGTGTAGATTTTAATAAGTGGACTTATTATCTTATAGGTTCTATAATAATTAATGTCATTTTTATCAAATACTATTAAAAAAATGTCAATAATTATTAATTTTCAGCGACAATTTGAAATTGTCACAAAAAATGTCATTAATTGTAAGTTTTAGTGACGGTTTAAAACAATCATCACAAAGAAGTCACTAATTTTTAACTTTCAGCGACAGTTTGAAAAATTCGTCACAGAAAAATGTTACTAATTGTAAGTTTTAGTGGTAATTTATAAAAATCGTGATAAAAAAAGTTACTAATTGTCATTTTTAGCAACATGTGTAAAAAATCGTCATAAAAAATTATTTTTAGTGACGATTTTATTAAAACTTATTTTTAATAAAATTTGATAGGAATTAAGTCCAACTATTAGAACTTATTAGTAGTTTAACTAAGACTAAACTAACTGGGTCTGGGGGACTTAATGGGAAGTATATTCTTTGTGGGCACTCAGCTAGAGCATAACAATGTTATACAACAAATGTCTGTCCCGAACTGTATATGTTTACAACTTAGATTGTCTAGAACATGAAGTCCTGTTATAAGAATGTACATTTAAAATGTCTAATTCGCTGTTATCCACATCATTTTTACCATATGTGGGTTCCATAATGTTGACATTCTTGCTACAGAGCTTGAAACGCAGTGAGAAAATAGAGTGTGGATTCTATTCATCCGAGTATGATCTATATCACACTAGGTTTAAATCTAAACGAGACACTTCAATTTCTGATCATTTTTCAATCAACTTTTTCAGACTCACAATCTTTTTCTGTGGTTTCATTCTTTGCATGACACCTGTTCCTTTTATGTCACTACGGTCTCTCAATTAAGAACTAGTTAGTTCTGGATTGTGAAGAACATAGAAACAAGTTCTAATTGCTATTCAAAAGCGTTATAACCTGGGGGCGAAGGTTCATGAAGAAGCTCTCCAATTTGGGGCTTATTTGTCATTGTTTCTTCACAGAACTTACAGCGAGCATAATGTGAACGGAGGTAAAACTAGAGTTCTCACCTCAGGCTAGTAGCAATATTAATGTTCATTTTACTCTTCGCTGTAATCTAACTCAATCAAGGTATGTAGATGCAATTCAAAGAGAATTCATTCTGTTACAATGTAGTTCTAAATTTCAATTGCAAGTTACAATGTAGCAATGTTTTGTTCTATATAGGCAAAGATGATCAATACAAATACAGACTGAAGTGAATTTTCTAGTGGATCAAATTGTTTGTATCAGTACTCGTCAAATGAAAATGGAAATGGATGATGATGATGTGAAACTTTTCAGAGGAATTTGAAGGCGATGATTAAACAGAGAGTCCAGAGAGACATCAAAATCCCCATCTGCAGAAGCAACTCCATCACGCTGCAAAGTCTCAGCTTTCGATTCTTCACTCTCTCCCTCACCAGTTTCCTCCTCAGATCCTCTGAATCTCTCTTCAGCTTCATCTCCCTTTCCTGAAACGAAGTAATTCAGATTCAGCGTCACAAGTATACACATGAATGCACAGAGAGAGAGAGAGAGAGAGAGAGAGCGTCAGAGAGAGAAAGGGACCCTGTGTTCGAGGTCGTTTGGTGAATCGAGGCGGCGTTTTGGGGAACATTTTAGAGACGAAAGGAGCATTGCGGCTCTCGCACAACGAATGGCGACCTGAGATTTCAGAGCTTCGTCTTTGCTTTCGACATCAATCCCCTCCATTCTCTCTCTCTCTCTCCGTGGTTTCAAATTCTGATATCTGATTGTTCGCAGACTAAAAAGGCGAGGGAAGGAAGATCACGCTTTCAACGGTTTTGACGGGATCACGAGGGCGTGCTTCTGATCTGATCCAAAGTACAAGCTGTAATCCACTGTGGCGTTGTCCAAAAGATGAAAGGTACAACCACTAAAAAGGTATTACTAGGAGTGTTCAGCGGATATTTCGATCCGTCCAAATCGATTGAACCGAATCGATATATCGCATTTTGGACAGATGCGTAATAATGAGCGGATGGTTACGGATTGATTTTTTTCAATTTGCTTGGTTTTGGACGGATGATGGATTTTAAGTTCCTTTAACCTCAACTGAACTGTCAAATCGCAAGCACCCTTAAAAATTTATAAGACTTTATATTTTCAATTTGTTTAAATATTCTGTTTGTATTTTTAATTGAAAAAGAGCTTAGATATTCAATTGTGTTTTCAATTAAAAAAGAATTTAGATATTCTGTTGTGTTTTCAATTTAAAAATCCTTTTATCAAATGGCAAGTGTTGATAGTTGGTATTTTGTACGGAAAATATAATGTTTAATTTTGTCACTTAAAAAAAAATCAAACTAAATAGTTTTTGAATAAATAAAATAAAATAAAATAGTTTTGATAATGTATTGTTTTCTTATATATATTTATCATTGGTATTTGACAATTTACTTGATAATCTTTTGGTTATGTTTAGTTGGGTTGTTATCAAAAAGAAAAAAGAAAAAATTAGTCTGAGATCCCTCTCCCATTTTTAGTAATGGAAGAGATCTACGATATTATTTTATGATGTCTAAACTCCCTCAACCCCACACCCATATGTCGTAGAGAAATTTGACTCTCTCTCTCTCTGCATATTCCTTTCTCTCTCTCTGCATATTCCTTTCTCTCTCTCTGCTCCTTCCTCTTCTCTTGGTATTCATCTCCGTTAGTACTACCACCGCCCCAACATTACAGTCCCGCTGTTGCCTCGTAATGACCGATGCAAATGGTGGAGCAAGTGCGTCACCGACGAGGACCTCAACGAGCTCAAGGCTTGCATCGAACTCGAATTCGAGTTTGATCAATTCAGTAATAGTATGTCGTCGTTGTACTTGTTATCTTGTTCGAATGGATCAGTTTCTACCCATGGATTTTGGTCAAAGCATTGCGACGATATTAGCTATAATCAGCTCCAAAAGTTACTAGATTTATCTGTATGTATGTATGTATGTATGTGGTTGGGTCTATGTTTATTGTTTGTGCAAATTGGAATTAGAGTAGTTCATTTTGTAAAAACATAGATAAATTTGTAAGCAAATCAGATAAATTTGAAAATACAGAGAAAATTGTTGCTGAAGATTCAATAGTGAGTAAAATCTAACTTGTGTTCATGAGCTTGATTGGTGTATTTCCATGCCTAAATCAGAGAAATTCTCTTATCTTTTTTTTTTTTTTTTTTTTTTTTTTTTTTTTTTTTTTTTTTTTTTGTTCAATTTTCTTTGGTTTGATCAAAAACACAAATTTTCTCTACACAATTTTCTCTGGATAGAGCCACACAAAGCTACACAAATTTTCTCTACACGATTTTCTTTGGAAATAGCTACACAAAGCACACAAATTTTCTCTAACACAATTTTCTCTGGATAGAGCCACATAAAGCTACACAAATTTTCTCTAGATAGAGCCACACAAAGCCACACAAATTTTCTCTAACACAATTTTCTTTGGATAGAGTCACACAAATTTTCTCTAGATTTCTTTGGTACTCAGAGAAATTTTAATTTTCTCTGGTTTGAACACAGAGAAATTCTTTGAAAAGTCCAGAATTTCTCTGGGGAGAATTTCTCTAGGATTAAAATTTCTCTAGATCGATGTTGAGGGACCCTAGACATTATGAAAATATTGAATGTCCTTTATGCTATAAAATCTTAATACCAGGGACCTTAAAAAAAAATTTCCAAAAAAAAAAAATGTTGGCAAGTTGTTGTATTATGTTCAAAATTTGTAAAAGGTTAAATCGCCAAACCGATTTGCATCCATCTGCCAATTCGACAGACGGACGCAGATTGATTTTTTTCAATCTGTCAATCTAGCAGATAGATGATGAATTAGATGTTCTCCGACCGCAACCGAACCGCGAACACCCTTAATACCTACAAATATCTCTTTTTGTAATTATATATATTATAATAATTCATTACAAAAATTTTAAAATTTATTCATCACCAATTTTTTTTTCTCTTTTCCTCCACAATCTCCCTCTCAAATACTTGAACAAAAAACAGTTCTAGTCATTTTTGTAATGTAACTATAATAGTTCATAATTACTATATATATATATATATATAAACACTAATTTATTGGGTTTTTTAGCTCTTTTTTTTTTGAAAAAATTTATAAAAAAAATAATGATGTGATTTGACCCAAATAAATTAATAAACTGGCTTATTTCTTTGTTTCCAAAATGGCCCTAAATATTGGATTGCTAAAATATAATATTTGAAATAGAAAATTGGTAAGACGTCAATACCAAAAAGTAGGGCGGTGTAAAATACTATCTAATCTATTAAAATTACACTGATCCGTATCAATTCACACTGTTCTATTCGCTAACTGCGGTTAAATTTTAAAGTTTATAATCTGCCTTTGAAACTGTTCCGCTTTGCTATAGTTAATACACATATTTTTAAACTTATAATGAAATATTAAAATAAAAATGAGTGTGTAAGAGATTTAATATATGAAATTTTTTACAAATTAATAGTTATATATATGAAAAATATTATGTAAAATTAGTTTGTGTTATATATATGATAACTATTATGTAAATGAGTGTTATATATTATGCAAAGGCTTGATAATTTGTTAGAATATTATTCAATCCGTCAATCCGCCCAAAACTGTTTAAATTGCAATTTGTCAATCCGCCAATCCGCTAATCTGCCATTTAGTTTATAATTTTACTCTCAAATTGTCCGAACCGCATTACGCACACCCCTACCAAAGAGGTATAAGATATTAGATCCAAGATAAAATCTTGTTTTGTAATAAAGGCACACCGGAAAAGGTCGTTGAAAAATTTGCCAATGTCGA